TTTACCACCCGAGGATCAAGCATACTTGACCTTATTCTGTAGGGAAACACCCAGGTTCGCTCGCGGGCTCAGAACATAACAGTTGTTTCAACGTCAGGACTCGAGGCTGACAAACTGCTGTCCCAAAATTATAGCTTTTTCGCGATTTCCGATCAGATCGCTCGACCGACTTATTAACACACCTTAATTCCTACGACTGGACTGATTTCTCCAGGCACTGACCGCGACAGTCCTCGAAAATACAACTTTCACGCTGTGGGACGTGACTGTTGCGATTCGGCGTCTTCGTCAATCTCAAAGACCTGGGCATGACGGTGTCCCAATGAGCATTCTAAAAGCACATGCCAATGCAGTGCTCCGTGCCCCTTATGCAATATATTTAATCTCGTTCTTGAAAGTGAAACCTATCCAGTTTGTGTGAGGTGTCACACATTTTGCCCATTCCCAAGCATGGCCAATCTACGTAATTCGATGACTTTCAGCCAATAAACACCCCTAACACAGTTTCGATAATCTTAGAAACATTGGTCAAAGACAAGATCATGTGTCGCTTAACAGAGAAAAACTTACTGAACGCTGCGGAGCGTGGATTCCTCAAAGCTCGGTCTTTTGACGCCTGTCAGCTCTCTTTCTTTGACCATGTTCTCCAATCTAGGGACAATGGTTTTGCACTTTACACGGTATATTTCGATTTCACTAAGGTCTTTGGCCACGTTGACCCTGCTCTTCTTCTCTTGAAACTGTCCTCTTTCGGCATAGGTGGCAAACTTTTGAATTTTATATCCTCTTACATGAGCCCTCGTACACAGCGAGTTAAGATTTCCGATTCTATCTCTAACCCCAATTGTGTGAGGAGTGGAGTCATTCAGGGTAGTGTACTCGGCCCGCTTTTATTTTGCCTTTTCGTTAGTGATGCACCAGATTTATTTCAGAATGTTAAGCCCTTCATGTATGCCACTGATCTGAATGTTGCACACAGGTATAAGCCGACAGATAGTGACAACGAGCTTGAACTCCATAAGAGCGCCCTACAGACCTTTGCCCAGTGGTGCCGCACATGGTATCTCTCTCTTTCTTGGCATAAATGCTCAGTCATGGTGGTTGTCGGCGGCCACCAACCTCAACTAAGTACTGACGGTCACGACGTAATTGTGCCTGGGATTATCAGAGATCTGGGTGTACCATACGCCAAAAGTCTTGGTGTTTATGAACGCTGCGCCCTGGCAGCATCCAAAGCACTAGAACGACCGAGTTTATATAGTTCAGTTTTCTGTCCATGAACAATGAAAATCCTCGCTATTAAAACAGCACCTGATTAGTTTGAGTAGTATTGCCACAAGGCAAAATATCCCAGCGATCGTGGAGTATTTAACCCAGATTCAGAATGTCGAGGGAATCCGGGGACGCAAATAATTATCCAAGCGTTACTTGAAGAGTTGCAGGAAAGTCGCCTCCGCAGGAGATAGTTCCATTTCTCCACTACCCTCCGTATGAGAAATTCAAAACGAACATTCAGCCTGGACATTTCTTGTCCATAGTTTCATCGAGTGACCACGAAGGTTGCGCGATAGTTGTCGCCAACAAATTCCATGCTCAAGGCCGGAAATTATTTTGTAGAAGAAGATAAGATCACCTCTTTGCTGCCTGTAACGCAGAGGGAATAAATTAAGGCAATGCAGTTTCTCTGTGTAGGACTCGTCTTTTTAACCGCTCACCAGCTTTGTTGCACGATGTTGTACTCTTTGAAGGCATGTTTAATCGTTTACTAGCCATGGCTGCCATGCTTGTGTGCCATATTCTAGGTGTGGCCGAACCAAGCTGCCGTAAACTCTTCTAAAAAGATCTTTGTCAACGGTTACGAACGCCCTTTTGATTGCATGGAGTGTTCCCATGACGTTTTTTCCCGCCTTCTACCACTGCCGCGTTGGTTTAAAGTCGCACTGCATCCAAACATCGAGACCCTTCTGTGAAGATTCTGCGGAAAGTCTAATGTCTTTTAGGTGATATGTCCTCAGGCTCTCAGTTAAATAAGGGTTTGTTGGACGCAGATAAAGGACGGCATACTTTTGCACATTGAAATCTAGAGGCAATTTCTCTGACCACGCTTTTAGTTGACGTAGACTGGTTTAAAGGGCTCTCTGGTCATAAGGACTCTCAATGACTTGCCAGAGCTTAACCTCGTCGGCAAACATTGTTTTACCGCAGTCGAGTTTCTGAAGGCCGTCAATGACGTAAAGGATGAAGAACAATGGTATCGGAACTGCGCCTTGAGGCACACCACTAGTCACGTTCACCCAGTTTGGCATATCATCTTCGATACAGACCCGTTGTTTCCGATCAACCAGAAACATTCTTATCCTGTCCAGAATATCTCCAGTGATACCGATGGCGCTCAATTTATCCTCCGAAACTTTAAAACGTTGTCGACTTACAGGCCTTTGTTCTTTGTGGTTTCGTAAATTACGAAAGCGATCATTTTTCCTATTTAGGGTCACCCTGCTCACTGCTTTAAAACATCTTGATCATCCCAGACGCAACCGGCGCTGTGACGTTTTTTATTTCTTCCTCTTGGTTTAGGTTTTTTCCTGTGTTCAAAGGAGACTGACTGTGCCCAAGCTGTGCTATAATAATAAGCCTATTTTATTCTCTAGCACGTACCGTTAAATATCGTAGGTTCTTTTCTGTGAGCAGAATTGCCATCAGGTATAAATTTTCCAGGAATGCAAAGAATCTGCAAAGTTATTCTATGTTTAGGAATACTATAACTAGTTTTCTGCATTCGGAAAAACTCTTACAAAGTTTGGGTGCTGAATCCACCGATCGAATGTACCGTAGCGATGGCGTTCGTAGACACTAATCCCCGTGGACGGTCTCACCAAGGGCAATTTCTTTAGGCAACAGCGACAGCTGTTCTTCAGTGCTTCTCTTCGGTCCAGGCCGAACTTCACGAAAAGAAATGGCGACCGACATTTTCCGATGCAATGCCACTCTCATTTATCATCATCAGGAAAAACGCTGAGCGGGGATCTTGGAGATCCAAACTGGTTATTTGTGTGACCATGTGTTCGAGCAAGGATTCGATGGATCGGAAGAAAAAGTTCTGAGAAAAAATGAAGTGCTCAATGGATCAAGGGAATTGGATTACTAGTGGTTCGTAGAGCTTAGGCGGCTTTCCTTTATTAAAACGTTTAGTGCCAAAATCGACCAGAATTTGTTAATGAGGGGCTGGCAAAGCTCTCCGGAACGCCAGTAACACAAGTCCCCTGATCCGGCGAGCACTACATTTTCACTCAGAGTGTCAACACGGATCTCCTACGTTTGCTAACCTAAGAATGGTCCTGTTCCAACGGACGAGAACTCTCTTCACATCATTCATAGGGCCGAATTTATACTTTTATCGGATATTACGGCCGTTTCATGCCTTCTAAACCATCCAAGAAAACCTTGTCAATCAACACAAAAATGACGATTAGTTGTGCACAAGCTGGGTTAAAAGATTACTGACTGCAATGTCTGCCCAAAAAGACTTACAATCTGGCTTAAAAGTAAGGACTTGCCATATCTTGTCAATACCCTTAAAAATGGCTATACATTGAGTTTGTCTTTGTTTTAGTCCTTCAGGCGGGGGTTCACGCTTTGGGTATTTAGTTGTAAAACTAGGCTTTATTGTCCTGCGGTGGCGGCGTCTGCTCGAAATGCTCACTTCTGTGCAAGGCCTACTGGTGATCTGCCAAGAGCCCAGGGCACGAAATTTAGCAAAAAAATTGCCCAAGAGTACGCTTGTCCGAGCCAACTGCATATAATTCGATGACAACATGGATTTTCTTGCCAAGGCAAGAAGGTCCGCTCGTCCCAGGCGACAAATCGCCTACTGAAGGCTTCGAACACCCAGCATCCTCTGTTGGCCCGACATCGGAATTCAAATTTCAGAAGCCACGATGGTTCTTGCCGCCAGACATTTGACGCAGGAATCCGATGCTGTAACCCGGGGTAGAGTCGGCGTAGTTTCTCCCACACTAAGGTTTTAAACCTCTTTGTCACCGGTCGTTTATTATCTTAAGATAATTATTTATATAAGACTCGCAGCAGCTGAAGTCAGTCACCTTCGTGAGCTTGTCTAGACAGCCGACAAATGTAAATGCACCCGAGGAAGGGCGACTATCTGCAATTCCCCGGTCAACTTGACCGCCTATTAAAACACTAGTGCTAGCAAACTTGTGTTTGACCCAAACACCGGTTAACCCAAGTCCTTGCCTGATAGTTGGTAAAACCAAACGAGAGGGTAGCCCAAAGATTACTTAAGTCAATTTCTAAACTAACGTACCCGAAGGAACCAATGCACACGCATAGCTAGAAGGAAAGTTCTGCACACCCGCAGGGGAGGTTACGATTGGGCGGTGTACAGTACGGGGTGGAGGAGGCGAAGGACTATTCACAGGCGAGGGGAATGTCCCGCAGAACTCGTGTTGTTATCGCCTCCGTTCTGATCCTTGGGTGGTCCATCGTTATCGATTGATTCCTTTGTTCGACTATCGTGACTTATATGGCGTTTTTTCCAGTATCCAGTTGGATCCTTTACATATCTAGCCTGTCCGACGTTCTGCCGGAGACGAAGGCTTCCACAATGAATCTGATTTGCTGTTGCTGTTCATTACAATCCCTCGGATCCCGCGGCGCTTCGTTCCTCTTTATCTACATCGTTAGTCCTTTTCATTAGTTATACCATCTGACATTGTACGTGTACGTTTCGTTCTCCTTTCTGTAATAATAATGCATTAAACGACCACTATCTCGTTCTGATTGTGCATGCAGGTATATGCCTGCACCATCAGTTGCAATTTGTGTCAACCAGGTCCTGTAGGTTGCTGGAAGACTAAATGACAATCGACAGTACAATGGATTCACTGAGTCTGGAGAAAGACATTAAGTTACGTCAACATCGTGAGCGTTCGGACAAAATTTCGAGTATTATGGGGGAATATCTGCTGAAGGGGTGGCGTATGTTGGGGGAGACCTGTGGAACTTGCGACGTACGTTGTAGCTTCTTTTTTTTCAGCCGTAAATTACATTGCTATTTCTCAACTAGTTACTACGGTCTTTTTTAAGGTCTTTGACTTCTATGTGCGGCTCACTCACTAGCATCTCTATGTTTGCCCCTCGCAACATTGAGTTTGAAGTATAGGTAGGTAATAGGGACGGGAGCTTGCAGGCTCAAACGCCCTTATATTGTCGTCCTCAAATTATCCTCTGTTTTCCCTGGCTCAGTTATGCCGTACCATGTTGATCTTGTGGAACTGTAGTCTGGCGTATTAGTAGTTGAAATTCCGAAGTTCTTTGATATCCTTTTCCGCGGAGCTTATTTAAGCGTTATGAAAGCGGACTGCCACTGATTAAAATTGAACTTTCGAAATGTTTATGTCTTGGCATTCAGTGCCTAAGGTTCACTGCAAAGCATCTCGCATGTCTAATCAGGTAATGCAAGGAGGGGTATTTTCACCGTGCGGTCTTAAACCTAGAACTTAGGTTTACCACATACTATAAGTCCTATGACATGCGCAATGAGCAAAACAGTGAATAATAAAGGAAATCTTTGTCACCTGTAGTTTGCCATCTGCCGACAGGTGGGTTGTGGTGATACGCTTCGGTGAGAGTCCGGCCACGCCAACTCACCCGCGTCGCCTCTCGCCTCTGGTCTTCTTGACTATGTCTTGCCACCAGGCCCAGGCAGGGGAGGAGAAAGTGCGGTAGATGTAACGAAAGTGTGCTATAACTAGAAAAGAAGTCACCGTGCCTGCTATCACCCTGCTACGGAGCGCACTGTGGACATCGTCGGTCACGGCGTTCGAACTGTCATCTGCTGACAATGCACCATCAGTAAACACCGCATGCACACGTAATAGGGTAGCTCGGCTGTCGCTTAATAATCTACCGCCTTTTCATGTAGGCGTAATGGGGACATGTACGCGAGCTTGTTCATAGTGACGCAGACTTGCAATGTCCTTACCTCACTCCGCCCTTTCAAAGACCGAAGGTGGGCGTGGACCACACACAACCTAGTCTGTAACTCTGTACCTTCGGGGCTCCAATGATGGGATTACCAAACCTGCATAAGTCGGAGCATTATAAGATCATACTAAGAAGGAGCTCTTATAAACTCATTCTGAGTCCGACGTGGAGCTGATGTATCTCCCCAGTTCGAAGTCACAGTCGTTAGGGTGTCTATTAAGCACTAGCCTTTTAGCAGACAGCTGCAGATAGTGAAACTTCACAGTGGTCTTTCATGACGCTACGTCTTCCTGCATTTAGACAATCCTCCTAATGGACCGTGAAGGACGGTTGTATTGCGTCGGCTGCTCCGACGTTGATGGCAAACAGACGAGCGACACCCCGGAGGTGCACGCCGTCCCAGACACAAACGGTGGCAGGTCATCCAGTGGAGCATCTGGTGACAAACAGTTGACTCTTCCACCGCAGGAGAGGCACACAGCACGAGACGACATAATTGTCACTGAGAATGCCGTATCATCAGTCAGGACGACGGCAGCCCTGCTCCCAACATCTACCTCTATTCCTCGTGTGCTGTCCAAACAGTCTCTTGAAACTGGGTATGTCCATGTGCACTAATTAACAGTGACTACTTTACGGAATAGAAGAGATTTTGCAGTAGAATCGACGCCAAAGCGCGACGGAACTCATCTGATGTCTTTGTCCCTCTAGACGAAGTGTCACCTCATAAGTATTGTTTTTCATAGCTTTTCGTAAAGTAACTCAAGTTTCCTAGAAAGATCAATGAATAAGTGCGCTTCCATAGTTAAGCCTTAAAAGCCACACAATTTTTATAGTTCGTGAGACTTGTTTACATTTCTAGACTACGTAATGTTTATGTCACCTCGGAATTACCCCATCTTGCTGTGAAGTGACGTGTCTACATTCATGAAGAACTTTTAACATTTGGCATACCTGGTTCCCATCCCCAGGTGTCTGCAAAACCCTCTGAATTTCCTAGTTTTTAGACGTCCGCATACTTGGCATTTTAGTAACCCTTCCGTTGTGAGACGATCATAAATGACTTAAGAAGTCTACGGTGAAAATTGCGTGTGCCTGGGGAATGCCGATTGACCCAACGTTAACACTCAAAGTTTATCGGTGTAGCAGTCCGACTTAAGTGACTCTTTTGTCCTCCCGAAGTGTTGACAGAATAAAATTGCCGACCAAGACAAGGGAGGCTGGAGTGGCCATTTCTGGCTTGCTAACCGTCGTCAACCAGTCATACCTAACTCCGAAGTGTGGAACACCCAAGGCTCGAACTCGCAACTCGTTGGTTAGAAGCCCGAAGCCGTGACTATCGAGCCAGGGGTTCGATGTCCTGTCAGTTGAGATCGGGTATATGCAGTGGTAGAGGGGCGCTCACTGATTGCGTTACGGAACTCACTCGTCCCATTGCGGCAGAATAACGCTGCCGACGGGACATCAAACCCGCGTCTCGGTGGTTAAGGTGTCGGACTTCTGACCAACAGGTCGCGAGTTCGAACCTCGGGACTGGGTATGCCTGGCTAATGACGGCTAACAAACCATAAATGGCCACTGGATTCGTCCCCAACTGCTGTGTGCCGTCGTTGTGCTCAGCTCAATGTCATTTCGCCTGTAGACTAACAAGCAAGGTTCGCATCCGGTCGATAATCAAGTCAGCCATGCTAACGCGATATTCCTCAATCCTGTCGGGACTTCCGAATCTAGCATGAAATCGGCATGAAAGGACAAGCTAGAGCATAAGGGAACCCCATCAAGACGATCCCTCTGTCTTAGGACGAGATATGTACCGCACGGTCAGAAACTCGCCGCCAGAACGTCTGCTCCATGGGTTCGTGCTCCGCTCCCCGAATTCACCCTCGGAGGGAACAAATAGATTGTTGGTCAGGCGCACGGCTGGTCATCAACGCTCTTGTTCATCGCTGACCAATGTGATTAGATCATGTCTAGTGCCAATCTGAATGTCTCACCTCATGCAAAGTAGGCTGGGGACGGCATCGAGGCGGCTACCGGAACGCTTGAGTAAACTTACTTAAAACTGACGCCGAGGGCATGTTTGGCACTTCGGTCTACGGTCTTCGTGATGGGTGTGTTTTTCTGTGGTGCCTGGGAATCCGCCACCACCGATCATGTGGCTGACATCCAACGCGGGCCGTCTCAGTCAGCCATGATGAACAGCAAAGCTGAGGTTAGTATTGCTGTCTTTCTATACGCAAATAAACAAATAAGTTGATCGTTCGTTGGCCGCGTGCTCTGTCGTGACGATCATACTGAGAGTAGTTCCCGAAACAGCAGCTCTCGCTTGTGGGAAATTTGTCATAGATTTACAGCTAACCACAGCATCTAGGGCATTTAATCCACTATGTCAGTTTCTGTTCTATTCTGGTCACTTCGCACTGACTGCATTCAAATTCCTTTTAGGCCAACCGTGGGCCTCCCTGCGCCAGTAGCTGCTATCCAAGATAAACTACTCTTCTGTCTTTCTCGCCTGGAGTCATGCGATTCTGCGGAGGAGATTCAACAGTGGGCCGGTGCCATCAAGGGTCTCTCAGAAGCATTTATCTGTTTAAAAAAGTGTTCTTTCTAGTTAACATGGGACAGGAAATTTTGATGCCTCATTCACTTTTGAACAGTTTCATAGCTGAAGCGCAAACCAGTGGATGGCCGTCCGACCATGGCCTTGACGCGATGACCACATTTGGCCGTTTAACCCGCCCCATTTATACTTTCTCAGCGGTTCACGCCGTACGAGATTCCTCCCGCCACCCAGTACAACGGGGGAAATCATCTCTCCCCGCCACTAGGCCCTTAAGCATCGTCGTAAGCCGAGCATCGACTCTCCTGCCATGGCTTTGAGCTCCCTGCACTGATGTCATTTTGAGCGGCAGCGGCGCGGGTGGATTTAGGGATATCGGAGACTCTACCCCTCTTCCATTTAAGGTGTCCGAAGGAACATGCAAAATGCTCGACCACAGGCTGAACACAGCCCCAGAGTAGGCAGTGAAACCCAGGAAACATACAATCAGTCTGCACTAGTGACCTGGCACCAGTCTGGGCGTCCCTCGAGAAAATATGAATAATGTTAAACAAAGGAAGTATTAGTAGTAGTAGTTAGTAGTAGTGGTAGTAGTAGTGGTAGTAGTAGCAGTAGTTAGTAGTAGTAGCAGTAGTGGTAGTAGTAGTGGTAGTAGTAGTAGTAGTAGTAGCAGCAGTAGTGGTAGTAGTAGTTAGTAGTAGTGGTAGTAGTAGTGGTGGTAGTAGTAGTAGTTGTAGTAGTAAACTAGTTCATGCTTGCCAAACTGTTGAGAGATGGCTACCACCTACAGCTGTCACATAGCGGGAGGCCTTCGCAGGGCACCAGTTCACTGCGTGCTACCTTCCCAAGTATATCTGAGGGATGCCTGGGGCATTGTTCACGATCCTGCTTGTGGAAGAGGCCATTCGGCTGAACAGGCAAACCACCTAACAGGTGTTTGTGACTCTCATTGCGTTTGCGAAGTCTGGGTTTGGCCGAACGGGGTGCAATTGTCTGTTCTAATTGACCATTTGCAGTCTGTCAGGTCTTCTTGCACAAGCATAACCTGTTGGAAGAGCGAGTCGGCCTCAGGCGTGAATACAGATTGCACCAATGCATAACTGGAGGGTTTGAGCCTTTGCCGTCAGTAATCCCACGACTTCACTATCACCGAGCGGCCAGAAAATGTCCTTAGGACTCGTCACGTCGTCAAGGGCACCGCCCAGAGCACAGTGTGATTGTCCAGCTAGATGGCGATTATTCGAGTGGATTCCTGTGAGAAGTAATACAACGCTGCCGCTGAGATCGTCTTAAATCACGTCTATCCTGACCTGTTACTCCGTCTGGCCTAGACTTATATAGCGTCAAGGCAAGAATCTCGCTGCCTCGTGATCCTAACCCAGCCAGCCCGGGCAAGAAGCCTGTCGCGGGGTACGGAACTCTCACCGACGTCGCACACTGTCCAATGTCACTTAAGTAAGCTCCATTTTTCCTGCCGTGCGAATACACCACCCAGATAGCAGTCTAGGTGAGGTAGTTTCAGTCATCTTCGAGGCCGTCCTATCACGAGTTTTTTCAACCCGCGCGAACATATTCAGTGAAAAGAGCAGTGGTTGGTAAGGAAAGTAATTTAAAAACAAACATGATTCAGATAATATACAGTTTGTACACAGAAGGACTATCGGTTCTACAAGGCCCCGATAACTCACTGATAGCGCGGGTAGTTCACGCTTGATTGTGGAATGGTGTTTCCCGAGTAGCCGCGCATGCCCGAATGTTGCTGCAGATAAGAAACCAGGAAGAGAATGCGTTAGTCACGGAAGAGAGGAGTGGCAACCGAAACACAGTCTCACGTGTCAACTAGCAACTAACGTCAAACCAGAACTCGGAACGGGTTGAGTGGGTGTTTGCGCCCACAGAGGGGCGCCCTTACAGACAGGAAGGGCATTGTTAGCCCTCCGAATTGCGTCAGAGCGTTTGGAGAAGGGGGCACGACTTGAGGCGGAGGCACAGTTGAGGTTTCTGGCCACTGTCGGCCTCTGTTAGGCGGTAATTGAAATTGTGATTGACAGGCTGGGTCTTGGTAGGGCCAGGGCTGGTAACGGCTGCCCCCAAACGGACGTTCAGAAAGTCGATATAGGCCCAAACAGCCGGCTTCCTGATTAGGACGTAAAACCGCCGATTGGACGGTGCTGCGACCCAATGACTCGTGGAAACGCATGAACTATAGCAGGGCAAAAGAGCATTTATGACAGGTAAAAGACGTGGCACATGTCTGAAAAGTCGGCTTGTACGGCAGACAGTTGGCGACCTGGTTGAGGAAATATCAGAAGTTGGAGGCCGTCTGGGAGCTCTCACTTGAGAAAACAGGCTAGGCGCTCAGCCCGCTAATAATGAGACGACGTAGAGTCGGTGTGGTCGGGCTGCAACAATGAACACTTCCACTTCCCGACACCCTACGACGTGGGGTGCTGTCATCGTGGTCTAGCACAAAGCCCCACTACATAAAAATAATGAACGGAGGGTTGGAATATGCAGTTGTAATCAAGGTGCCAATAAACGTCCTCCGGAATATGGTTTGGAAACAGTTCCTAATTTGCTCCGAATTAAACAAATAGCGTGGTTTTTAACTAATAGATGACAGGGAAGGAGGGCACAAGGGACAGTGAAGGCACACTTAAGCTAGGAGGGTGATGAGTACTCCGGAGGGATGGCCGCTCTTTGCATGCACCTGGTATATCTCCGTCGGCGTGTCTGATATACCTGGCATCAATGATGTCTCACGGGTGGCGAGGGCGAGCTCAGTCCGTCTTCTGGTCATTCAGGGCCAGGTCCCGAGCTTACCACAACTTCATCGCTTAAGGTGTGGATAACGCCTTCATTCATCCTGTCTAGTACTTAAAATGAAGGTTATATGCAATGCCAGGGGGACGGTTCTCAAACGCCGGCGACCGAAGGAGTCGAATCCTCGCTTGCTCTCCACACGCATAAATTTACTTGTAAAATTGAGAACTTACCTTGCGGATATTTCCGAAATTGCCTACATTCTTATTAACAACCTTCAAGTACTCCAAAAACTGGCTTTCTAGGCATTGGCGGGGAACCGACTAATTTGAAGATTTTGCTCCACACTGGGACATGTCCTCACTGCATTCGGTGAGGTAGTCGGCATTCATGTGAGAAAACCGAAAATCCATCTAGTGACAGGGGTAAGCAGGATGAACGATAGGATGCGTCCCTGGAAAAGATTTAAGCGAGTACGCAGAATTTGTGAGGTGCTGGTGCGGACAAGAATGAGGGAACAGACGGGATTGTCTCAGGTCGTGGTTGACGAAACCGTTCCCGCTATCACATAGGTGCAACTGGGTTATTTCTCACAACGGTTCATGATTAATTGAACCGGGTACAGTAGAAAATTCGACAAAGCAGACGACTGCTGTCTACTGGTCATATTCTTGTCCAATGCACACAGAAGGCACCCAGGGATGTCGCGAAATCCGCGCACAGTCCTGGCTCCCTTCGTGAAGACAGGCAAAAGTGGTGCCAATTCCAAATTGCGACTTCATTTCCCATTGTTTTTTTAAAATCACCTTGAAGAGGTAGGATGAAAGCATTGCTATGACAGTCGTAGACTTTGTCAGTGGTGGCCCCATTCCAGAAGTCCTGTTGGTGCATAGCTTAACTGTAACATCAGTAAGGAGGCAGGGTCAGGGGACACTTCATAGTTCAGGAGTCAGCGAAATTCAGTTTTAGACGAGAGCTCAACGCCGCCATATCCCCAGTCCGCTCCACAAAGTAACTCCGCCCAACGGTTTTTTGGCCTTCTCCAGCGAAATATCTTGTTTCGGTAAGGATATGCGGAAATGTTCAACTCGTCTTGGTGCTGCCAAACTTTGGGTCTGTTAGCGTTCATGTATGGCGGGATCCGATGTTACGTGTTCGTTCACGACTGAGTAGTCCACCTTATTCACTAGTAACCCGCTCAAATTGCGGAGCGAGTCAGTGGTTCCCGCAGACGCATATAATGAATCTCCACAGGATGTTTGGAAATGGTTCAAATTAAAGGCGTTTCAATAAGCGCTGTCCTTATCTGAAGGTCAAATACCTACTGGGCCCCCTTTCCCTGGTGCCTGCCATCATAAGTCTCCCCAAGCTAAGTTATAAAAGACGAATTTGACTTCTGAAAAAATAAGTATATGACCCTGATGCAGTCAACTACGGCATACCTGACGGTCGTGTTGGGGTTGTGACTGCCCTCCCGGACCTGACGCAGAGGCGTTTGGTCCGCTGCCACCGCCACTGCCGGTCTGGTGTTGTTGTAAGGGGTAGTGGGAAACTGTGTGCTGAGCTTGCTGCTGCTGCTTCTGTTGTTGCTGTTGCTGCTGCTGTTGATGGTGACACTGACGGCCAGCCGTGGCTTGATGTTGATTTTTGTCGGCGTTGAAGGCCTGCTTGTCGTCCGGCTCGTCTTCGGTAATGAATTCTCTTTTGGGGTAGGGAATGGGTAGATTCCCAAAAGCGCTGAAGAAGACAGGCATAACGGGACTATAGAAACGGTTGCAGAACGCCGAGTGCAAAACCCTCCGGGAAGAAACTTGGCTCGAATAGTATCACATGTCGAGCCATAAACATCGATAACGTCTGAGAGGACTTAACGGAGGCCTGACAGTCACAGCATAGATCAATGTGTCAGATATATAATTGTAATATTACGGAAGCACACGTGTACTCACTCTTCGTTTGGTTTTTCTCCAATCTTAAAGTACTCGTGATTCATTGATTCGGCTGCCGAGGGTCGCTTAAGTGGGTCCATCGTCAGAAGGGACTGCAACTAAATAAGGGTTAACACAGTTTACTAAAGGTCGCTGCAAGAGGCAAGTGGAATGTAGGCTAGAACTTACGAGAGAGATTTCATATTTGTCAATGGTGAACTTTTTTTCCTCCAAATAACCCTCGAGTGAATACTTTCCGTATGCCTTTTTGCTAATGGAATCGCGCATGAGCTGAGGATATTCGGGCATTTTTCGCATGTCCGGCCATGCTTCATCTGAAATAGAAGAATCGGGATAAAAAATGAGTGAGGGTCAGCAGCTTTAATAAAAGCGTGTGAATTTATAAATAACTAGTTTAATATTTTGAAAGCTGTCAGATAAATGGATCATTTGAAGTAAGGAAAAACATTGTCGTTGAATTGTAAGCACAAAACAGACTAATTCGGTATGTGGGCATCCAACATTTTCTTGGTGCTATTTCTTCGGACATTGAGTGTACGAGAAGCGTGTCGATTAAAGACAATTGTTTCAGGCATTAATCAGGAACGTGGGTAGAAAGACAATCCAGCTTACCGGAAGGGTAGCCCATGACTCGAAATATGCGTTCCAGTTGTTCTTTGTGGTATGGAGTGCTTGTTTTTATATCCTCCTGTCGGCAGTGGAAAATGGGTTCGTAAGTTAGGAGCTCCGCGAAAATACAACCGATGGCCCATATATCGATGGCCTTAGTGTAGTGTCGAGCGCCAAGGAGAAGCTCCGGTGCGCGGTACCAAAACGTAACCACGACGGGATCCAAGTCAGCCAGTGGCTTCAATGGTTGGTAGAATAACCTGGCAAATCCCAGGTCACCGATCTTGACGCGACCGCGTTCGGGTCCCTCACCCATCACCAAAATGTTTGCAGGCTTCTAGAATAGATCAAGTTGTGGACATTATTCGAAGAATCGAAATGTCGTAAGCCATAGAAAAGCAGATTAAAGTAGGTCTAGAGGAATATGAAAACGGCCATGGGTTGGAGAAAACAGTTAACCTCAAAATAACGCCGATACAATTATTTCGTACATGATAAAGCCTAGACGTAGCTTAGAAAGTTTGTATCAGAGGATAAATACCGAAGTGATTTGTATGAAACAGGACTCGTTGCTAACGTAAAGAAAAGAAAAAGGGAAGTCAACGGCGGACCCCGTAAAAAGATATGCCGGTACTGACCAGGTCGCGATGAAGAACCCAGTTGGCATGGAGATAGTCGATTCCATTTAGTATTTGATACATCAGGCTCTTAACCATGTTTGGATAAACAGGAAAGGTAGTTTTGTTTGCTTTGGAAGTCCGGTGAAACTTGATGATGTGCCACAGATCGTGTTCGGAGAAGTCAAAAAGGAGCCATACTCGGCGATTTGTGTGGTTGAGAAACACACGTTGTAGTGTTATAACGTTCTTATGCTTGAGTTCCCTGAGAAGCTACAACGGTGAGTGACAACTGCATAAGCTTACCGCGATTTCCCGACATGCTGACATGGAGAGTCCAGTCCCTTCAATCTGTTTCAGGGCATATTCCCTGTCGTCATTACCGCCCTTCCTCTTAGCTTTAAAGACACTGCCATACGTTCCTCGACCGACCTTGCACCCCTCAAACTCGAATATATCTTCGACCTGATCGCGTCTAGCGCTCAACTCCCGTTTGTAGTCAATGTCCACCATGACCCGCAATTCTTAATCTTGTGGACACTTAACAACCAGAAAACGGCTTGTTGCTTTCTCCGCATAGATTTCAGCCTATTAAAACTTACGGAAGACAAATGTGTGCAATTGTCGTGGTAATTAAAATTCTTAACGTGTTTATCCTTCCTGTCGTAATTTGTGAAGACGTATGGCAGCCACATTCATATAAAAGCTGCACGGCAAATCCGCTTTTAAGGTAAGTCCTGGCGTCAGGAAAGGAGAAAACTGATGTATCAAATAAAAGTGGTAGAATAAAGATACCCACTTTAAATCTTTAAATCATTTTAGTTAATGAATGCGGCGTTTCTACTTGAGCCCTTCACTCGCAACGGGAAAAGTAAATAAATTTAGCCTCGCAGCAATAATTCAGGAAAGCTTGAAGTCGTCGACGTGAACGGGCCATGCGCAAACTGTTAACATTGTTGTGAACAGGCGGTGTGAGTGTGTGTTCTGTGAGCAACAATTCAAATCTCAGATTGGAAAGAGAAGACAGAAGACGCCAGAACGAGGTGTTTATTGTGCACGAAACCCGGAGTTTTCCTCCCAGGCGGCAGTGGTCACTGGCGAAGTTAGGACTGGTATTGACTGCGTCCAGTCATGCCTGAGAGTCCCTGGGATAGTAGTGACAGCCGCTTTTGCAGGCTTATGAGCCAAGTTCGATTGGTGTCCAGTCAGCGTGTATTTAATTTGCCGAGCGGTGGTGTCACAGTTGCTTGTTTTGCTGGTTGCAGGGAGAGGTGCGTTCAAGTGGCCTCATAGACACCTGCGGCTGTGCGGATGCAGGTATACCCTATCTGTCGGTCATGTGACTCCGGGTCAGCGTCTTTGGAACGGCTGACTGCTAAACGGCAAATGACCCTAAGGCAGCGATGTCTTGAACAATGACGCCAGACCGGTCATTATGTCTACCCACTACTCCAATGATACATTTTGATTATACGTGCATCCAACAATAATACTTGCACAAATAAGCAGGTTTTGGATGTGTAAATGTGATATGAAAAGGCAATTTATGCGATAACGTTGGTTGAGTTGCGACGTTTCGATAATGGCCGACTGCACAGACCGACATGGCACGGCGTCAAAACAGTGAAACTCCAAAACTGAATCAGAGTCCGACCCAAAAGAAAGGTAGGACAGTTCCATTTAGGGCTACGCCGCCTTCTCATAGATCTACCAAACCTTTATAGCCCAGCTCGTCTCCCAGCTCCGATTATAGCCCCAAATAATTCTCTGTCCTGCGTACCGGTTGCTTAACAAAGCCCTACTATATATCTGGGAAATAATTCATTTGTGTATTACCCTAAGTCATTTCGGAGGATAAACACGGTCGTTCTACGTGCTGTGGAGACTATCAAGGTACAGTGCTCCGAGAGATTGAGACTCTTGGAGTATGATACGCCCAGATCCTTAATAACCCCAGGTCCATTTATGGCGTGACATTCAGTACTTAGTTGAGGTCGGCGGTCGTCGCCATCCACCATGACTGAGCATTTATGCCAAGAAAGAGAAAGGCGCCATGTGCGGCATCACTGGGCAAAGGCCTAAAGGTCTCTCTGTAGAATTTCAAGCACGATGTCACGATCTGCCGGCTTATATCGATAAGCAACTTTCAGATCATCGGCATACATGACAGGCTTACCATTATGAAATAAATCGGGTATATCATTAACGAAAAGGCAAAATAAAAGTGGGCCGAGTACACTACCCTGAATGACTCCACTCCTCACACCTGTGGGATCGGAGATAGTATTGGAAATCTTAACTCGTTGTGTACGAGGGCCCAGGTAAGAGGATATAAAATTTAAAAGTTTGCCACCTATTCCGAAAGAGGAAAGTTTCGAGAGAAGAAGATCAGAGTCAACATGGTCAAAGACCTTAGTGAAATCGAAATATACCGTGTAAAGTGCAAAACCATCGTCCCTAGATTGGAGAACATAGTCAAAAAGAGAGTTGACAGGTGTCACAAGACCGAGCTTTGAGAAATCCATGCTGAGCAGAACTCAGTAGATTATTCACTGTTAAGTGACACATCATCTTATCTTTGATCAATGTCTCTCAGATCTTCGAAATTTTGGGGAGGGTGTTTATTGACCGAAAGTCATCAAATGACGTAGATTTGCCATGCTTAGGAATGAGCAAAATGTGTGATTCCTTCCACAAAGTAGGATAAGTTTCACTTTCAAGAGCGAGATCAAATATCTTGGTTTAAGAGCGATGGGAAAATCGTATTTGCATCGGCTTTTAAAAAGCTTACTGGGACACCATCAGGTCCTGGACTATAAGATTGACGAAAACGCCGAATCGTAACAGTCACATCCCACAGAGTGAAAGTTATAGTTTCTAGAACTGCCCCGTTCAATGCCTGGATGGTCGGAAGCGCAGTGGTCGATTCTTAAATAAACGTTTTGGACAGGAAAGCATTGAAGCTATCAGCGGTTAACTGGGCATCAACTATGGGATTTGCGAGAGCGTCCCGGAGGATGGGATGCTACGTCTTTCTGTGAGTTCGTATATTTCTAGAGAAAAGTTTCGAGAAATTTAACGAATGGTTTTCGGCAAACTGGATATCTTCGGCTAGCTGTTTTTCTACAGACAATCTCTTAGCTCGATCAAAAATATCAGAAATCAAGGGAAGAACAGAAACATCTTTCTGAAGATGGAAACGACGATAAAGTCTGCGTAATCTGCGACGAAAGGGTAAGGGTAGGAAAACCCCATCCCCAACATTAATAATTTTCTTACGGGGGACAAAACGAGAAATAAGCGGATCCAAAATTTCGTACAGATTTGCAGTGCAAACATTTACATCCGAACTAAGGAAGAAATCAGTCCAGTCGTAGGAATTAAGGCGTGTTAATAATTCTGTTGAGAGAATTGATCGGAAATCGCGGAAAAATTTATACTTTGGGGAAGACGTTTTGTCAGCCTCGAATTCCAATGTTGAAACAAGTGTGTCATGGTCTGAGCCCCCGAGTGGGCCTAGGGATGACACTGACGAAGGTATGCAGACTCTACAGAAAATCAGGTCAAACATGCTTTAGCCTCGGGTGGGAAAATCGACAACCTGAGTCCACATGCCAACATCCACAGCATCAAGAAAGTCTTCCAACCTTCTGGGGCCTGAAGGCGGAGACCAGCGGACTTCAGGCAGATTAATGTCACCCGCAAAATAATACATGGCGTTTGGCATGGCGTTAAATTTGAGGACATCTTTCAGTGGCACCTTTCACCCAATCTTCGTGGTCACTCGATGAATTTACGGACAAAATGTCATAGCTGAATTTTCGTTCTGAGTTTCTCATACGGATAGTAGTATAGAAATGGAAGGATCTCCCTCAGTCAGTCTTGGAGACGACGTTCCTGCCACTCTTCAAGAAATGCTTAGATGATCCTTTGCGTCCCCTGTTTTCCCTCGACAGTCTGAACCTGAGCTAAGTACCCCGCGATCCCGGGAATGCTTTCTTTGAAGCAGGGATGCAGAAAGGAATCGAGTATTGTTTTAACAACGAAGATTTTCATTGTTCGTGTACAGTTGTATCTAGCGAGCTGACATGTAATCAATAGGGATTTCCATGGCCTTTACCATTATCCTTACCAAATAAACTGATGAGTTCGGCCTGCAAACGTATCGAAAAATGGTATATAATTTCTTACGAGCCGGTAGCATTTTGTGTCACCTGCAGGCCGATTGCGCACCACAAACACTATGTCAAACACAGTTTCCCACCGCAAGCGACACTGAGAGAGAGAAAGACAAACTGGTTGACTATTAAGGCAGACAAAATACAAGGCAAGGCGTAATTAAGTCGAATAGAGAAACTTTATTGTGACAGCTAGCACAGATTATGGCTTCGGCTTGCCGAAAGTGCACCGCTCCTCAATTCCAAGGAAACAATCATACTCAAAGACAAATAACTTATCCTGGTGAGTTGTGCGCAACACTTGAGCAGCACCCCAACCGTCATCAACGCTGCTGCCCTCGATCATCCGCCTGTCATTCAAGAAACGAGCAGGGCATTGCAGAAGATTTTAGGTAGGCATATTCCTAATCCTGATTCAACTGCGGCTGAAATCTATAAACAGGCCCTCATTAATTCGTTTGAAAATTTACCTAACCGCCATGAGGCATGTGGTGATAAGTAGAACTATTAAGCGATTTTAGGCTACTATAATTGAATAGTTTCGTACATGTTAATTATACAGTCAAATCTCCAAAAATTCTCGGAGATCTCCTTTTTACCTTTCACTGCAACATATCCCTCCGAGAAATGCACATTGACTTGAACTTACCAGCGAATCAATGACCTCCTGGCATAAAATAATGTTGATTCCAAAATAACCCGAGAGGCATAAATGGGATTTTTACAGTTCAGCGATTGCACGAAAAATGAAACGAAATTTCGATCAGCATTCACAAAACCCTTTTGAGTCCGAACAAATCGTTTAACACTGTGAAGTAGAGACGGTTTCTGGGCCATTATAAGGGATTTCAGGTTTCACAACTGTCTAACGGTGACCGTCACGCAGCTTTGTCATGACATAATTAAGTGCGCGATGGACGGAAGTTTAACAGTGGAGGCTGTCGTGGAGAAATACTGGGTTAATTGAGGCTCAACTTTGTTCCCCTCCTCCTGTCTCGCCGCCTTGACGGTTGCTTTTGGTCTCATTCCAAAAAATATGATTGCATCTGCAATGCATGGTATCATCCAGTTTAGGAATTCCGCCTCAGCGAGGAATGTTTCGAGTCCTTATATACTTTCACCTGCATAGCTGCCTTTTCCCACTCGAATGTTTACCTTCCCATAAATGGCGATTTTTCACATTAGACTGTTTATTCTATAAGCATGAGCTGAATAGTTTACAGATTCTGTCTACCTGCTCCAAACTTCACTTGAAAATTTATCTTTACTTGTATGGATAGAACACCCAGGGGTCTTAAGTAAAAACAATTTGATTGTTTTTAATCATCAACATGCTGCTGCCTCGATTTCGCTAACCCATTTTGTTTGCAATAACTTCAAAACGGTCAAACTTATTGGGTTCAACTGCCGTCAACTTGTTGTTCGTTGTTATTAAGCAAAGTGGTCAGCTTTTTAACACGCATTCCGCATGCTGAATTAATGTTTAGATCTATTCAACTTAACTGCACCTCATGAAGACTTGTAATTTTCTTAAATGGAGTTTTTACGGGCTTCTCTAATTTACTCCGAATACACTGATTAGACTTCAGTAAGTACGCCAGCAGACAGGAGGCTAAAATGACCGTGCAAAAAATAGTCCGTTAAAGCTACCCTTACGAACATGCAAGCTCATACTCAGGCAGAAACTTGGAAAGCGAAATATAAGCAGTGGGTACAACCCGTCTATGCGATGCAATTAAAATTTTGCTAAAGACTGACAAGTTCCAAGGTAATAAAGCCATTGGTATGGATTTGCCTCGGTACAGAAACAAAACAATAAAGTTCGAAAGCCCAGCCCAAATTAGTCACATCGCTTGGAGTCCTCGGACAAAGTAGCGAATTTGGAAAATGAGGATCGGGCTGATTTCACTCATGTTTTCGTACATACATACATGAGCAAAAAAGAAAGCGAATAAGTATGAGTCTACCGAATAACAGCAATCACATTATATTTAGGGAAGATGCACGCGAATTTACGACAGCAGGCAGACCCATCTGAGTAAAATGTTACCTGACACTGATGGCATGTGTGTCGGAGTGGCCGAAGACTTTCTCATCGGACGATTTCAAACGTATAACAGGGGAACGTGAACCGGTAGACCATTGAAGATGTTACTGACAGTCTCTAGCGTCCGCCTAATCCTCGCTACGTATGCCCGATCAGCAGTGTCTTAGCCAGGACCTATATCCTGTGCTTCGCCGTCTCGGTATGATTAATCCTTGACGTCTTCGGTGGCTGCAAGTCACCAAGGTCATGCCTGACGCCCCTGCCCAGGACCCCGTGGCGTCAAGGTTATTGAACTTCGCAGCAAACGGTTTCAAACGTTCTGGCCTGCAGCCATCCGACCGACTTCAAGTCGTGAGTCCACAAAGCCGCAGCTGTCCATTCGTCGCTAGAACGCACCGCCCCTCGGCGAATGCGACAAAAGTCACCAGGGACATACCCCATCAGCAATTGTAACATGCAACAACCGGACATCACTTAAGCCTGTTCCTCACAAGCCTACAGAGATTATGGCTATCACTGTTTTCAGAAAACTCTCAGGCATGACTGGACGCAGTCAACGCACGCCCTGGCTTCATCTGCGGCCGTGTCCGCCTGAGATGACAACTCAGGTTTTCGTATGCGACAAACCCCTCATTATGGTGACTTCTGTGGTCTGGTATTCTTAGCGCTCTGAGCACTCTCATTGCTTAGGCGTTACAAAGACGAGCGTCTAAAATGAGGACAATGCAAGGCTTGCTCTGAATTAAAAATCAAGCCTAAATGAAGGCCATCCGGGCGGCTTTCGACAGGAACATTCTCGGTTGATAGACCAGCGTATGTTCTACAGCTGGATGACCCAACATCCATTTGAACGTTTTCGATTAAACTGTTGCAATTTTTAGGCCAGTCAAACCGTGATCAAAAAACATTTTCACGAGGAAAACGTAGAAAATGAAGAAACAGCCAATTAGCAACCAAATGATGCGGCGTTGCAACCGTCTCAAATCTTCGATCTCGACCTGGTAGAAAACCTATGAGTACTAATAACCAGGAAGAAGTCGACTGACCAGTCGCACAAGCATAATTGTGGGGTTCTAGAAATACGTAGAGACCACGCATTAAGCTAAATCCGGTCACACTAACGTGGTCGTGATTTTATAGTCGCGCGCCAGTCGTAGTCTGGTAATTTTATTACTTAGTGTTATGTCAGAACATTCTGTGATAAAACATTCTTCTCACCAAAACTTTTTATTTTTTGCCCTCTCATGCAAAAGCCGACTCAGTTTTGCCGCGATCGATGAATTTTCGAACATTTAATGAAAAACGCATCACTTCATCTACGCGCGGAGGAATAAAGCTAGATATACTGCTAAAAAGGACAGTTTATTGCGCTGTAAATCGTCGGCTTTCTGTTTTTTCTCACATGACCAATTACACAACAAACAGTATTTGGAGGTCCTATAGATTTAAAAGGTTTAAAAATGAGAACTTGCCCTTGTCAGTAGTCAGTAGTGCACAAACGGCTCAAAAGGTGCCAGCAGTAAGCCTTTTAGCCAGACCAACGGGCAGGTGATAGTTGTGTAGACAAGGCGAAGGCTGAGTCATAAACGGAGCAGACAGTGAACCAGAAGGGTGGGGGGGGGGGAGGATTCGGTCTGGCAACAGCTGCCTCTCGGTCCGCACACAAGTCAACAGCGACCAACAATCCAAACTACCTAATTAGAATAAGTAGCAACAATGTCGACATAAATGACACGGGGTGGTCACATTACACTCCTCCCGAAAGTACTGCTCATGAATGGCTCGAAAATACGTGCAGAGCCCACTGATTACGCTTGGATAGGACAGCACGTGAACTGAATTACAGCGAGGCAGACTTGCGCATACGCCAGTGACCTGACAGAGTTCAGCTTTCTGGTGGCGGGACCGCTTACAGCGAACGAACAGAGTAATTCATGCCTTGTGCGTGCTCGACGCAAACCAGGCTGCAGCCACACCAATATCGCATGGGCAAAAAGTCTCCCAAAGCCGCAGTAGATCGCAACATGGATGCCGCTCACAATTGAAGTCCTATGGTGTTTAAGAGGCGTATGAGAAAACGACAAGTTCCTCAAAGTATTCTGATGTTTTTTGCACAACGTAGCACAGAATGAAATGCAAAGAACCAAGCAAAAGCTGTACCATGAAATGCACTCTCGTTTTTTTTTCAACAGTGCGTCAACAAGTAGTTTATCTGTCTAATAATTACGAAAAGAACCGCGTAAATCCGGGTACCTGCGGCTTTGGGAGGCGCAATATCTTCTTAATCAACACCAGAGTACCACCTGATTTGCGACCTCATTATTCTAAAACATTGGTCATCCGATAGGCAGTGTTAATAAACTGTTAGCACTCACGCTGGCTCGAATGTTCCGTTGTTTGTCTAACAAGAAGAACCACCCCTTCGTTAGAGCGAATTTATTTTCCAAATTGACTAGCAAAAACCTCAACCTGTTCAAGACTGCGGTCCTGGACTTCGAAAAGCAGAAATGGATAGCACATGTGGGTATGATATTTCGAAAAGAAGCATAAAAACCCATATTTACACGAAAAGTGGAATAAAAGGGAATCAGAACCATGGTATCGAGACTCGATACTACCAAATGGGCTTGTTCGAGAGTCTTGGTAGTCTGCATCAAACTGCTGATCTTGGGATGGCCCAGAAGGCGGAACTGGTCGGTGTTCTAAACGCTGGCATCACTTTTCGCGTTCGCAGCCTCCTTAAAGATGGGATCCCGCGAGGCAAACAGACACAAGCCCAAAACAATGGCGAAGAAGGCTCCAAGATAGAGGGGATGAAAGATATTGCCAAAAAGGAAGATTCCAATCAACAGGGCATAGAGATCGGCCGTGAGGAGGGAGAGGTTGACGAGGACAGCGCTGGTACGCGACAGGGCAAACGGCATCACAGTGTAGAGGATGAACATGGCAGCCGCATAGCCGGCCAGACAAGCGAGAGTGACTCCCAGGTTGGACTGGTCCGGTCTCTGCGCTAGCTGCCGCATAAGGGGCATCTCCCAGGCCAGACAATGCACCACGGTCCACAGAGTTGCAGCCAGGGAGGCGAAACCCAGGTAGTCTACAATGCCGAAACGGCGGACCAAGTATTCCTGGTAGACGTTAGAAATGCCATAGCCAATGGCTCCCAAGATGACAAGAAAGTCCCCCAGCAGAACTGCGCCTACTGCGCTAAGGTTTGGGTGGGGAGAAGCTTGGGTAGTGGTGGTGGTGGTGGCAGTTCCGTTGTCGGAATGCGTGTCACCAGTAGTCGCGGCAGCGGCCAGGTAGTCAGCGCCGACCATTCCACCGGCACCCAGGAGACATATCACCACTCCAGCCACGTGGATCAGTTTGTAACGGGTTTTCAGGCAGAAGCGACTCAGAAGCATCGCTGTGGGTATAGTGAGGCAATCAAGGAGTTGGACACTGGTTAGGTTAGTGTAATTATAAGCACTAACAATGGCCCAGTTGGCATGAACATCAATAGTACCAGCGAGGAAGTACTGCCAGCCACGATGACGAACAAACCCCCAGAGCCTGGTTTTGAGACTGGGTATGGCAGGAACGTCTACGTCTACGTCAGCAGAGCTGTCAACTTCGCAAAATTGGAGAGACTCGGCGTCTCCAGAGGTGCCTGGAGCCACGCCTGCCGCGGCACTTGTTGTTTCTTCCCCCTCCTGCTGAACTCCGCTTGAATCTTCGACTGCTTCCCGCGAAACGACTGTGCTTGAGGGACGCTCCTTCTCAGAGGAGAGAAGACGGCGCCAACTGAAGAAGCCATAGACAGTTGCCAGCAGGAAGTATGAGGGTAAATTCTGAGTCAGAGGCAGACTAACGCCAAATTGGACAAGGTAGTTGCTCGCGATTCCGGTGACGGCGATCAGGGCAGAGAGAATCTGACCCAAGGCTAATGGCAGAGTGAGACGTCGGAGGTGGTTAAGCAGTCGTGAAGATTTGGGTCGGGCCGGCGGTGAGGTCAGGGATAGTTCGGAGGGGTCTGCGCCGTCAGGACGATCATTTGCACTACCAGGTACATCACTGTGATCAATAGTGTCAGGATCACTACCACCACCGGTGCAACCTCGGTTACTTCTCGAACTTGAGGCTGTCTGCGCTCTAAACCGGCGGTTTATATGGGGTTGGTCTCCATCTGCAGTTGCAGCCTCTTCCACCTATATAATCAAAGAATAACAAATAGAGTGGTAACAATCGGGAGATGTCACCCAAAAAATCCGCCTAACCAAAGCAGCCTGTCTTACGGGACGGGTGGTAATAGGAATTTTATGGGTGATGGCTGGTCGGGATGTACGATACTAGCCGACGGAAAGCCTTATTCGAACAGGTGAATCATCGAAGTTGGCCCGCTTTCCGTTCCGTTATTACAAAATGGGTCGCCAAAGGCAGTATAGTGGTAACGGACGAGTGGAAGGCGTATAATCGTCTTCCCTCAGAAGGTTATCTAAATTTCTCTGTTAACCACTCAAAGAACCTCAAGGACCCTACCACCAGACGGCACACCAATGCCATTGAAGCATACTGGAGTAGACCGAAAAGGAAACTCCATGAGGGAGATCCTGTATGTGATCGAGCTGTGTAGGCTCACATAGACGGACTACAGTATCGTCTTTGGTTTGGCCTCAATGCCATTTCTTTGACAGATGCCTGGGAACTGTTTCTGTCCCATGTTGTGCAGACTTATCCTATTTAAAAGTGATTTTGTTTTGTAATAAACTGCCATAATGCGAATGTATGCCGTATATCCAGGTGTACGTGTGTAACGATGGGGAGGTTGGGTAAGAGCGACCATCGTCCATGTAACCTCCTGCGATGTTCGTTCGGCCAGCCTATGTTAGGCCGTCGGGGAAAGTCCAAGTAGTGCGTGAAAGTAGGCCTGCAACCGCTGATATAGCCTGAAGGCGTTTGAGTGCACTGTTAAAGGTATTATTTCTAGGTAACGGATTTTTTTTGGTGCCATCTCCCGATTGTTACCAATGGAGTATTTATTTGAGTGTCGGGAGCACAACAGAAAAACACGAGTAGATATTTTTCGCAGGAACCGTGGCGAAAGTGCTAGTCATTTTAAGTCAATATGGACAAGAAACAGCTGGAGGTAGGCTTTTCAAACATAGTAGGCACTAGCATTAACTTTACAAGAAAAACCCGAAAGCGGCGGATGTAAAGCGTGACATTTACCGTTCAGAATACCGAAATGCGTCTAGTACTGGAGTTGATTTAAGTGGAAGGTACTGAAAGGAGAAGCGTATTGGTTTTTGTCAAAAGTGACTGGGTTGTATAAAACCACTACGGAATTTGGTCATTACAAACTACGGGCAACTTAAAAGACCATAAAAGTTCAAAGCATCATTCAGTTTTGAAGCAGTTAAAGGAAGTAAGTAGAACGCACCACAAAGCCCACTGTTGCGACTGCAGAAAGGAAAGAGGTATTCATAAGATTGCCTTTTTGCAGGAGACACAGCGAGCGGACTAGTCAGACGGCGCTTAACTACGACTATCACGAGGGCATTCCCCGTGGCGAATTTACGCGTATGCTTCACAAGCTCTCCCCTCCTCGTTTGAGAGGCAAAGACAGACTACCGTTGGAGGCCACATCAATTTGCATTTACTCATTCACTTGCTCCTGTGGAGTGGGATAAATCAGGCGCACAATGAGACGCCCGGTAATAAGGGTTCCTGGGTAGACAGAGGTGAGACCCGGCCGATTTCGAGTTCTATTCTCGCACATTTAATCGATACAAATCACCGAGTCGATGCCAAGGAAGCATTTCAGCTTGTCTACCGGACACCAACAAGACTCTCTAAGGGCCTACGCCAACGGATACTAGCAACGGCCGAGGCAGTGGCTATACGGCTAGCGAATCCGGTGTTATGCTGTCAGAAAACCCTGGCACAAGCGCTCTCTCTGCCGTGGCTAACGCCAACCCCAAGTGATGACGAAATGCCGCCTCAAATCCCTAATTACAGTGATGGGTACTCGGTGTACTCAATCCAAGTTTATCACTCAAAGACTCGCTTACCCCCCTCCCCCAGCTCTAAGGACCAAAACCCGTCGACCTTGTCATGCGGGTGGCGTGAGGAAGATGAGTGTTAATGACTTAATAGCCCTTGAGACACCTATAAAAACTGCTAATTGTGTACCTTTTCATTCCTTCATGTAACTGTATTGGGCTGACGAATAATTACCGAAAACACGTGTTTGCCAACTTGACTTTTTAAGTGTAACATGGGAATATTTGCGGAACTAAGTAGAATTCGCCAATTGAAATTTCATGATCAGGGAATTTCAATTTGCACAACAAAATTTTCCAGAAGACGAGGGTTTTAATCAGAACCCCCCCGTATTCGCGTACGAGGTAACCCCTGACGCCACTCCATAGTCACAATCACAGCAAAGTGGACATTTGATTTCTTTGTCGATATGGTAACATGCTTGTTGTGCGACTTATGATTGACATGAATTGTGACCAACCCTCCTTCCTCTGAAATCAACTTCAAGAAGACCTTTTATCCATTAACAGCAACCCCTGACACCACTCCAGCGTCCACAATGCCATCGAGACATGCACCAGTGGAATCAACTCCCAACAATGTTCATATTGCCGCGCACACTTCTGAATCGAACTAAACAACCCGTCTACGCGTGCCCCATGGACTTGTTCCCACGCGAGGCTATTGTAAGGGCGGCGTGAATCCCAAATAGGCAAGGATGCTGAGATCATTACACTAAGAAATGGCAAAGGCAGCCTAACTCTCGGCTCTACAGTCCCTCCATCGCCCTGACTCTGAGGATTGAGCCATCCAATCAGTTGGCAGCATTCCAAGCCAAGACTCTTGGCACGTCGTGATAGATACCGGCGCGCTAGATTTGATGTTGAGAGGAAGGCGCTATAAGGGCGTACTCCCGAGTACGGGGCTCGCGAGTTCGAGCCTCGGGCGTTCCACACTTCGGGGTTGGGTATGACTGGCTACCAGTCTCCCTTTTCTCTGTCGGTAATACCATACTGCCTATATCATGCGCCGCTGTGCGGCTGCTGGTTGGGCTTGACAAAGAGCCCGTAAGGCACAACGGAACGAGTGAGTTCCGTAAGAAAGATCGGTGAGCGCCTCCTACCATTGTATATTCCCGATTGAGACCGACAGGGCAACGGGCTCGTGGCCCAGCGGTTAGAGGCGTTGGACATCCAACTAACAGGTCGCTGCATCCAGCCCCAGGTGTTTCACACCTCGGGGTTGGGTATGACCGGCTGACCGGTATGACTGGCCAATAAGCCAGAAATGGCCATTCCAGTCACCCTTGTCTTTGTCAGCAATACCGTACACCCGACTGTTTACCTCACTGTCCCCTCCCTCCCGCATGCAACAGTCGACTTTCCAATCCTACCACCAAACCACAAACCTGCCGGCAGTACTGCCGAGGAGACCTCTACCAGAGAAGCCCTACGTACTTACTTGGCACTGCCCATGAGGATAGCAAAAAGAACATGCCATCTTATGGGTAGGTTTTTGATCTCGAGACATTTGTTAAAAGTTCAAGTAACCAGTCCTTCAGGAAAAGAATCTTTGACAGACGGCAGCCTCTTGGCAGACGCTGAATAGGCTTCTCTGCTCAGATAATTTGGGTAAGAGGTTTAGATGTATTCCTGCAGATGAGATCTCTTAAACGGGGTTGCTAGCCACAAACAGCCCTCTCCACTCCCTGAAATTAACCCGCGGCAACCCCAACATCACTCCAACGTCATTGCCAAATGCCGTTACTAATGCCTACGAAAACGGAGTACCATCAAAACCAATGCCCCAATAGTACCCTTCTTTCTAAACGCTCATACTTACGAACTGTGCATTTCTCACTAGGCCCTGGATCCTTTAAGTATTTGACCTTGCTTGCGTAATCCCTATTATTCAAGTAGGAATAGACGCACACTGATCTCCTGGTTTCCCAGAGCAAAGAAACTCAATATGAATGGGAAAGGTCTCGAGAATGAAACCAGATACCAGGCAAACGTCGGTCAAGTTATAATAGCAGAGGAGTGCGTCCATTTCTGATTGAATAAATACCAAAGTTGCGGCAACAGGAGCGACAGGTGGCGGTTCGACGAAGTACTTATGACCCATCTGCTAGAGCCCGTCTGGGTCGTGTACTAGCGCATGTTTGTGCCTCTGACCTCTCCCCTTTACGATTCCTATTATGGTGACATATAAAGTTATCATGTTTTGTTTTCCTCCGGTTTTACGTTGTACACTGGCATCAAGCAAGCAAACGAGGTAAGCATACTCTCAATTCGACCATCTTCGGGATAGAGTGCCAAACGTCGACTGAACCACTGGTGAACATACTGTAGAAAGTAACTTTTTCGAGGCTGGTAACGCAGCACTCACGCTCACCCAAGGTAGCGATCACCTAAGCATGGATTTGAGGGGAGTGGATATACTCCGGCCTTGCGCCGGCCGACTTCCCTAGGACCTATTCATCACAGAAAATGAAAAGACATTGAAAATTCAAAACAATACTTGGCCTACAAGTGTTCCTGACAAGCAATTTCATGAAAGCAAGTTGAAGACAAACAACGGCAAAAAATCACATTAATTTTTTCAGGAGCCCTATTCACCAACCACTGCAATAGAGCGATTTTCGTAGAAATGCGTAGACTGTCCGCCTGCAACGACTGGAATATAACGCTGAGCAGCCACTTAAAAACCGAACTCGATAAGGAATGGCTACTTAAGTAGTGTGTACTTTCTCTGGCTATTTACGATGACCCTAATAAGTTCAAAAATATTTTGCAGAAAACGCACAACAGCACCATATCTTGTGCGCGGTTGGCAGAAAATCACGTCTTCTTTAAATTTTACACTGGAAGATAAAATATGTTTCGGTTTTTAAAAGAGTTTCTAATTACGGGATTTCTGAAGATCGGTATCGTATCTGCCTGTTTAGCAATACTCCCGTTATTTATATAACAGTCCACGTTCGCAGCAACATTTAATGAGTCCCATATGGCATAAAAGAACGTATGTTTCAGTTAACACGAAAAGTATACAGCCTGGAGACTGAAAACCCGAAGCAAAAATGCAACGATAGACCGAGGTTCGGGAATAGAAAAGCTTCTAAAAAAACCTAAACACACCCTATCGTCGGACAAAAAAATTAAAGATGACATAATGTGCCGCCAGATGAGTAAGATAAATAATAGGCCAATAGGAAATAAAACTTTCATGGAGGTTTCTAGAAATATATTTGCATTTGTAAGAGCATCGAGATTTGATGGAGAAAACGTATACTACTTAAGAAGTCATTTCTCGTCGAGTGCGTTTTTTGCAGGCGACCGGAAAGAAGTGCATTTACAAGTAAACACCCTGGCGTGTCTGAAATATCGCAGGATTGCGTCGCGAGATGGTCAGTATTGCCGATATAAGCGAAAATGCGAGTTCCAGGAACTAGTTGATCAGATCCAGCGATCGCTTCTTCTTCTGATCATGGTCAGTATTACAGCCACACTTAAGTAATCCTTCGTAATCGCGAACGTATTTCAGAATTTCGGTGCACCTTCCGAGCGATCGGTCCTTATGGCCACATTGAGAATAAGCCACTGCAAGACTGGCTGTCAGTTATCCAGTCATTCCACTATACGCATCACGGGGGCCAAATAATCGAGTCAGGCGCTTCAGATTTAGTATAGCGATGAATACGCCGATTTGCTATGGAGACGCACTCCTAGTGTCGGCCTAATTCCCTCTCGCATGAACCAGCCGACTTTCAGAGCCTGCCATATAACAGGTAATGAAACTGGGAAATAGCAATGTGACATACTATCCCCAAATTAATTAATATCGATCACAGCACTAGGATCTAGAGTTGTTTAAACAGCATATGAACAGTAAAAACCTAAGGTTAGATCACAGTTGGCAGCCAGGAATGGGGAGGCTGACAGCCATGTCCCTGTCGAACGGGAATGGTGGGAATGGGGGGTTATAGGGATGGGGTAAATGGAAGGGCTGGGAGAGGAATGCTGGAGTTTCTGGGTAAAAGTAAAGTTACCAGGGAAATTGCTGGGAAGTTTTAAGTAGGTGGAATAATGGCAGAAATTTAAACCCTGCGCTTAACCCTAAAATCCAACCATGACGCAACCGTGAAGCCTAACCATAAGCCTCAAAACCGAAACGAAACCAAAATACTAAAACCCAACGCTAGGCCTACCCATAACCTTAAGTCTAACCCTAAACTTAAACCTAAGCCAAACGTTAACCGTAACCCTAACGGGAACCTAAACCCTAACACTAAAACCTGACCCTTAAACGCAAACCCTAATCCTGAAACTTGACCTTCGCCTAACCCTAACCCTCACTAAACCCAACAGCCTGACCGAAACGGGCAACCTGCCTAACTCGGTAAGAGCATACCTACTGATAACAAGTTCCCTAGACAAGGTAAGCACACCTACTGATAATAAGCACGTACGTCGACAGTATCAACGTATAATGTCTGGCTACCAATTGCGATGTTACCGAAACTTCATTATCGGAGGGCGTACAACTACCGGATTGCTTCAAAGAAACTGCATGACGTATGATTCGAACACCTAAATGAGAGGCAAAACTGTAGGCTGGGTTTCAGTGCATGCAGATGTTAGGGAAAAATGTTAAAATACGAAATCTAGATTCTTGCAAGCTGCCCGATCAAAAGGGCGTAGTGCACGAAACAATTGCAATAAGAAATCAAGTTTTAGAAGAGTTCTTGCAGAAATGAAAGCTACATACGGAGACTGGTTTATATTACGGAATTTTAATCGGAATTGTGAAATGTGTTCTCGATTGGAAAGGACCACTTTAATGGGTTATATTGTTGATTTTTAAGCAACATTGTCTCGCGATATTACAATCATGTGAAGAGGAAAGCTTTCCAATGTGCTTCGCTTTGGCCGCCGAAAAAAATCAGTCGGAAAAAATGACAACTTACTTTGTGTGAATTTTTCCCTTTGTATTTCGGCATCCCAATAACTTTGAAACATACCTTATACAGAACATTCATAAAAATATTTAAGCTTGTAATCATTCGGTAGCAGATGACATGTTCATATTTTTTACTTGAACAAAGTTTGCTGTTATGATAATTATTGTCCAGAAAATGTCCATTCACACACAATCGTATCTGCCCGTTTGTCAATGCTGCTTAGATAGCATACAATATGGCTTTCAGGCATTGCAAAATCTTATGCTCACTATATAAAATATTCTTAGTAATGCAGAAAAATGCGAAGTCTCCTCACGCGGTGAGTAGGCAACATGTCCTTTGGAAACTCTAGGTACGAATGAAGCTGCATGTCGAACCCGGAACTAGACCGTAATTGAGACAGTTTTTAAAACCTGTTGCATCCCTTTATTCAAGTAATGAAATCAAAAAAGGCGTAATTTGCTACCAGGTGAGTGTAAGAGAATATTTTGGGACATTTGAATTTACAAACGCATCGGAAGTCAGTGAGAAAAATACACACTAGATAATTCCTTTTAATCGAAAATATTTCAGGAAAAAAGCCAGCTTTTGTAAGTGACCAGAATACGGAGAGTGTCGCCACGATGGCAGTTGAGAAGGCACTCAAGTCAAATAAATTGGCTTGGGGAGGCTGCTACGTGATAATTAACTTTCCAACTCAACCCCAGTGACATTATATCAAAATGCTTAAACTAAAAACGGTTATTTAGTACGTGCAAAAACTGAACGGCGCATGTATACTTAATTGTCTGGATTCTACGCAACCGACCGTAGGTCACTCTTACCGTTCAAGTTGCCTCAACAACAATTAAAATCAATAAAACGTTTAGAGTTTAGTGAAAACATGCCTCAAATAGGGTGAACCGTTGCTGTAAACAGTTCAGCAGGCTGTAGAATGAGAGAAGTCAAGAGTAGGCATGACTTTGCGAGCTCTTGCAACAGCACGTGTTAAATTTGCGCGGTAAATTTCAATGGGAGGTCACGGGAGACCCCATGCCAGTCGACTTTGCACAGCTGCCAAATTTTTGCCAGAATGTCACATGAATTTATGTCTGCGTGCAGTAGCCAAGATAATACTGGTCAAAGTACACGTCTAGGCGGTCCAAATTTGACTTTTTAAGGGCGCCGATTGGTCGGTAAATTTTCCAAATGCACCTACTATACATCTGACAAATATGACCTAAGGGTTGCTTTGGATTATTTTCGGTGAACTGCAGTTTGCCTTAGTGGTAGCGGGTATTGATCTTGCCATAAGGCATATACAATAGCTATCCACTAATAATTAGGCTTAACTATTGTTATGATGGACCGAGACCTTCAAAGTCTACGTAAATCACAATGCAACGGTAAGTGTGAAGGCAGCTGAGTAGAACAGATAATCTCCTTCCTGATGTTTTAAGTTTTTAGCAATGAGCTTGTGGGTGCGGGAGTCGAGGTGGTTTAAAAAGTTTTCGACAAACACCTTTTTGTTCGATTTCACATCCGACAAGACTTTCGATAACGTTTAGGGAAGGGCAACTCTTGCGACTGAATCACTCAAAATAATGCCAATATTTTAGGTCAAAGGCTGCCTAGCAGACATCACCGAGGAAAAATCTACAGGTTAGTGCCTCGAATTTGACGATTCTGGCGAGACAAGCGACATCTTTTCTATTACGCTACGAGATGCCTCTAATAACAGACGCTGATCATGTTTGTTGGGTTGTATGGCGTACGAGGTGGTGCGAGGTTTTGTCGTTAAGGCTCGTGGTCAAAGGGATTCTTCAAGGCCCGAAATAAATGATTAAATTGAAAGAGATTAGAGAGTTGTTTCTGCGGTTGCTTATGCAATAGAAACAAAGGTGGCACACAGGACCATCGCGGAACCCGAAAGTGCATTTGCCGTATGAAAACAGTGAGTGCCGGCAGCGTTGTTCATCGCATTCTGGCATTGCCTCATTGATAGTTCTCCTAGCCACTGGAATCTGGTTGGCCTAAAGGGTTTTAGCTTCAGTCATTAGCAAACGGATCTTCATATCTGCCGATTATCTGCAGGTTCTCCCAGGACTTCGGATTTATTCCGACACACTGAAAAATTCGTTCTGCCTCTCCTCACCTGCGAGCACGTGGAGCAATGTCGGGTCACTGTGGTAAGTGCTCATCCGTCTTTCTGACGGTTGGCAACTGGACACGCGAATGGATTCCAGGATCCAGGGAATCCGGGAGCAATCTCTGCAAATTCACAATCATAACCTTCTGAAGGCAACTGAGATGAAAGTAGCAGAATCGCCTCATTCGGTTCTGACAGAGGCTTCAGATTTCAGCGCCTTATAGTGGCGTTACCATTGCGACCGTTTTTTGAAATCGTCGGCTAAGCAATGGGCTAGATTTGTCGGTAGGACTAGATTAAAGACTGGAGTTTGCCGGAGAGGCCGTTAAGTGCTTGAAAGTGGCTCTGTTCAGAGACTGACACCCGGGCCCCTTTTGGCGAAAGTATGTGGCAATGCAAAATGTGTCATTAGCGCCTCTTTACGCCACTTTTATGCATGGATGTAAAGTTTAATGGTAGGGAAGCGCTCACAGATCATTCTTACGGAACTCACTCGTCCCGTTGTGCCTTACGAGCAGACGCACAGCAGCGCATGATATAGGCAGAATGGTATTACTGACAAAGACAAGGGAGACCAGAATCCCTTATTTTTGTCGGTAATAACATTCTGCCTATGTGAAGTTTAGCCAAACAGAAATTTATCCTATCGCAGAGGATGTGACCCCTTTTTGTAAAAGTATGTGGCTATGCAAGACATGTCATAAGTTACTCTTTCTGCTCCATTTTTATGCACTGATGTGAAGTTTGGCCAAAAAGGAATTCATCACACCGATGGGGTGCAATCCATGAAGATTTGGATAAAAGTCTGGGAAAGTTTGAGTTTATAGCTAGGACAATCAACAGAGAATTGTCAGTCAGGCAGAATTGGTGAATTCGCACAACTTAAAGCGAAAATTGGTCAGACACGTTGGTCTGGGCAACGTGCAGTGAGTAGCCAATCTCATGAAATGTTGACTGAAATTTTGAAGTGCGTTTTCGGTTAGGACGAATTAATTAGGCGCGATTGCAGGATATCTTATCTCGTGGCATACTCTTATAATATTTTGAACGTCAGCTTTTGAATGCACCGCTTTTTACTCTACCGTAGAAACTACACTTGGTAAAAAATGACTACTTAAGTGGTATGCATTTTTCGCATTTACTTTCGATGGTCTTCCAGGTTCAAATATATTCTATAGAAACCACGAACAAAAATATGCTTTCTTTCAATCATTTGATAGAGAACTACGCCATCCTGATGCTTTATAGTCGAAGATGGAGTATAATTAGGCTTTAAAAAGTTTTCTTATTCCCAAATAATTTGGAGCCTGATCAGTCGTTGCATTTGCGCTTAGTTATTTCAGTCTGTTAGGTACATGCGTTCCGCGTAAAGAAAATCACACGTTCTTTTATGCCTTTAAAAAAATACCGTATAGAGTCCATAAACGCTTGCAATGGATGCGTACCATGTTGTGCACTTTATGAAAAACAATGGTAAACGGACGGGTACGATGCTGTTTGAATGGGCATTGCACGGTCTTAAAAAATCCCGGTCAGAAACTTTTTAAAAATCAATTATAGTCCTTCTTTGAGTATAAAGTATAAAGATGGCGTGATTCTCTATCAAATGACTAAAAGAAAGCTTATAGAATATATTTGAATTTGTAAGACCATCGAAAATCAGTATGATAAATGCATGCTACTTAAGTAGTCATTTTTAACGAGTTCGGATTCCGAGAGAGATCAAAACGCGGTGCATTTAAGAGCTGACATCCTGTCGAGTCCGAAATGTTATAGGATTATGTCGCAAGATAATCAATATTACAACCGCGCCTATGCAATCCTTCCTAATCGAAAACGCATTTCAGAATTTCAGTCAACATTTCGTGATATCGCTCACGTACTGTAGGTCGGGAATAAACATCTATGAGGAGACCACTCGAATAGACGGGGTATGAGCAGACTTTGCAGCTCAGGGGGCATTTACTAGTCTTAAACGTTTGCACAAACAGACGTCACTCAGCTTGTGGGGATCCCTCTCACACTAGACCGTCTGCACACCTTTATAATAGCAAATATTGGTCAATAGGCTGCTTAAAATAGATCAAAACGTACCAAACGCATACCCATTCGAGGCTTAATAGGGCATAACCTCAAGAAATACCTGATACAGGAGACCAGTGTAGGTCAATATAGGTTAAAGGAACAAGAAGAGCTGCTTTGAAGGGTGAAGTTTCATTGCCCTCGTTAGTACTGTTAATTGAGGTAACAAAGCTGACCTCATCACAAAAAAGAAAAGTTCAGAATCGCTAGTCTTAGTGGGGACTATCCACAGCAGAGCAGTAAACTGGACAACTCGCGAAGTGTAGCTTCAGCTACAGGTCAAAAAACTTACTGGAAACCTTTCTTACTCCTAGCTTCATATGAAGTTTGCAAAATGCAGAAAACACACGCAAAATTTTGGTCCGAAAAAATACAGATCAGCGTTTCGTAAAGCGATTTATTTTAAATAGAGTCAACTCTATTTTAATCCAATATATGACAAATTTTGCTGTAAATTACACAGAAGAACATCGCAGCTAGGGCGCGGAATTACGGTCTACCGCGAAGTTCCCGACAGCATGATACCATAAATATCAAAGAGTATTATATATACGTAAGAGATGCAATCACAACGGCAAATCAGAGGGACAACTGGCGGGAAGGAACTGGTTTGACAGACGTAAAAGAAAATTTAACAAAGGCAACACAGGACAGACCTTCAGCCTTGCGTGAACGGCCATGGGTTAGGTAGAATAGTCAACTAGAAGGGGAACACCAGATAGGACCGCAAACGCAACTCCTCCACCCGACGCACACGTGATGAATGTTGCAGTGGCAGACCGCATGTCTGGAAGAAAAGAACGCGCTTGTCAGCGGTTAGGACCAGCGCCTGAAGAATAATCTAGTCAGGCCTATTAGAGACTGCTTGGCATGTATCTGCCCAATCAGAATGCTGGATGCATCTGCGGGCGATACCAGCCACAAAGTGCAGGAGAGGCACATGCTTGAGGCGGGGGACAATGAATGCTTTTAAAGATGTGTGAAAAATTCAAATCAACGTCAGACTGCATACGGTTTTGCGCATTTAAGCACCTTTGTGACGTCGGTAGCGAAGAAATGGATCTGAAATTTTAAGCGTTGGCAGAGTGCCGAATGGGAGTAACATTGACTCCTATGAAATGCAATCAAAGAGTTTCTGTTGATTGCAGTTAAGAAGTTAAGTAAGAAAAACACATTACGCAAAGCATCAGATACGGCAGCGACGTATCTGCGTCCCCACAGACAGTGATGAGATCCGTATCGTCTGAGTGGTCGAGGGTCATGAGAGATGATATAAAAATGGCTCCAAAAGTTGGCATAAATGATGGAGTTTACGTAAATAAAGAATACGTTCTCCTTTCAGGAGGCTCAAACAGGTTGCAATGATGGAACCTGGGCAAATCCTTATCATTTATCATCATAAAACGTCGTGACAAGGCATCAAAAATACCCTCCTATAAAAACACCACACAAATGATGAGCTTAAAAAATCGATTCATTAAAACGACACCCGAGACTGCCGGCACGACTTAAAGACGGCGTAAAAGACTAATTGGCAAATACCAAGTTAACTAACAAGACTCGTGTTTTCCCTAAATCCATTTAATACCGCCTAAGCCGTGTGACAGAAAAATCTCATTTTGTTAGCCATAGAGTTTATGCAGGAGTGACAGGGCTTTGTGGAGGTATCTTACATGGGTTTACATAGAACGCCTAAATGTTGCCCGATCTACACCCAAATGTATGAAGGGCACGAATCGGGAAACAGAATAGGCGCGTGATGATCGCGGGGTAAACTTCTCCCGCGGTCTTGGGGCAATGACGCAATATGCAACCCCATCTAGAATGCAGAGGATAGGTCATCGTGTCTTACGGAACAGGTGGAAGTAGGGGTTTATGGCTGGGGCTAATAAATGGGAAAGAGAGCGGTGAAAAAGGATGAAGCTTAGGGAAAATGTTTTAATTCCGTGAATGGGATCAAATCGTGACCCGAAAAATTGAATACTAACGAAATTTAACACCAAAAAACCAGTCAGCTAAATATAGCATCTGCACAATAAGATTTCAAGTTCAGAGATCAAGTCAGCAAAATGGCCAATAGAAGCCCAAGGACGAATGACGTTGGCAAACCCTCATAAAAGTAAAGTGGGAACGTTGAGCAAACGGCGCGACATAATGAAGCAGAAAAGCGGAACACAGGGAAGCCGCCAAGGTGGCCAGTAAAGGTAAAGTGTACCAAACGACGATACAACGACGCAACCACTTTGTCGTGCGCGGAAAAAAAGAAATTATACCTGCGATAGGTATTTAGTAGTAGTCTAAAGCCAAGTTATGAAAGTTCGAGAAACAACTTGGAACAATAATTGACACGTGCGGTCCCAATGAGCTACTGTTCGGAAGGAACCGCAGGTTTTTGGTGGTAACCTACTCAAAAGTAGAATGTTATTACGGACAAAGTCGAGGGAGATAGGAATGGCCATTTCTGGCTTATTAGCCGTGATCAGCCAGTCATACCCAACCTCGAAGTGTGGAACAGCCGAGGCTCGAACTCGCGACCTGTTAGTTAGAAGTCCACGCCTCTAACCACTGGGCCACGACTCCATTGCCCTGTCGGTTTCGATCGGGAAATGGGCGCTCACCGATCATTCTTAAGGAACTCACTCGTTCCGTTGTGCCGTACGGGCTCTCTCTCGAGCCCAACCAGCAGCTGCACAGCGACGCATGACATAGGCAGAATGTTAATACCGACAAAGACAAGGGAGACTGAAATGGCCATTTCTGGCTTATTAGCCGTCGTCAGCAGGTCATACCCAACCCCGAAGTGTGGAACACCCTTCCCGATCGAAACCGACAGGTCAACGCGCCCGTGGCCCAGTGGCTAGATGCGTGGACTTCTAACTAACAGGTCGCGAGTTCGAGCCTCGGGTGTTCCACACTTCGGGGTTGGGTATGACTGGCTGACGACGGCTAACAAGCCAGAAATGGCCATTCCAGTGTACCTTGTCTTTGTCGGTAATAGCATTCTGCCTACATCATGCGCCGCTCTGTGGCTGCTGGTTGGGCTCGAGAAAGAGCCCGTAAGGCACAACTGAACGAGTGAGTTCCGTAAGAACAATCGGTGAGCGCCCCCTACCACTATTCAAGTCTTAGCAGTATCAAGGAACAGGGAATCATAAATAGCCCATGAGACCGAAAAAAAACCCCACAAATACACTGACGGGAGGCTGGATAGTGTATTTCAAAAAGAATTTTGTGCAACAACCTTGCCGCTGATCAAGCAATGACAACGATTATTTTCCCAATTACAGGTAGCTAAACTGCCTGATACGTGTGCGATGTGGCTGTAACCAGCGCTGTCTCGGGATTGCAATGGTGAGCTGCAGGTGAAGTGGATTGAGGAGATGGAGATTTTCGCAGTGAAAGCAAGACTCTCTCTTCCAACACTAAACGCGCTCCACTGAAGAGACAAAATAAAGATGACTGAAAGTGTGTGTCCAAAGGCAATAGTTGAAGCAGATGGATGCCCTCTTCGCGTGCGGCACATGTATTCATGCCTACATATACATGGCAGAAAGCCAGAACAACTGCTCTTAAGGGCTGCGGTACAAAGGAATCAGTGGGGTCTGGCCTTCAATCCGAGTAGGATAAAGGAATCATTCCGCGGTTGGCCATTTTTAAAACTATAATCTAAAGCGCGTCAGGTGATTTGCGATGAGTCAGTTTTGCCCGGACCCGATCCTGGCCTAACTCCCTCCTACCAACTCTTCAGGGTGATGCGTAAATGAACTGTATATTATGGGGAATACCAAAGAAGAAAGCGATATGCATACTCAGAAAGACGCGCTGAAAGCTGATCTCCCTGTTACCTTTTAGGGTCACAAGAAAATACTGAGGTAGGCTCCTTACTATGCAGTAATTTGAAACGCTAAAACGTCTGCTTTGCAACCAGAAAGACGCTTTAATATCATGTCATAACTAAAGAACATTGAGATGACCTCATCGCTGATATTCTGTCATCTTATTTATCCATTTACTCATGATTCGTTTATGTACACCTAAAAATGTCTCCGGAAACCTGCCATATTAGCTGTGTGCAACTGACGGTGTAGCAGGCTTAGTCGTTGATCTAAGATGTTGGAATCGCGGTTAGGAATGCAGTTTACGAGGCATTGCATTGGTAAGATTGTTGTGTATACAGAAAACAATGACGCATATTCTACCGAGATATAGGAGATATAGCATAAACTGATAATCTGGGAAGGAGATACGGTTAACTGGTACCTAAAACAAGCTGAAAATAGTGTTTCTCAAAATTTAAAATCGGGTTAGAAACGTTGTCTAAAGGTTCGATGTCATGCTAACATAAACCCCAGGGCTAAATTCCATCGTATCTACTACTTATCTATTTCTCGTTTTAGTTCCATTACGTCATTGTAGGATGAATAAAGTCCTGTTATGGGGTATTCTCGTTCGGACTCTTGCATCCGTATTTGTTCGTCATCTCCATCTCGTGTGCTTACAACGGTCCTAGCTAGAACAATCGGCCCATTTCCTTTGTTTAAACAGGGATAAATTCACGGGCAGTCAGGCGCTTCGAGGTCCATCACTGCGGCTACATCGATTGCAAAACCTGCTGTTTGTCACATCACAAGGACAAAAGGCCGTGCGAAAACGGAAATCAGCAGGAAGACGAAAGCGCTGTAAAGAGAGCCAGTTGGTTCTGCCTGCTAGCAGGGGCTGGTAAAAACTCCGTCAACGCGGTTTGCATACTTGACACCTGGGCATATCAGGGAACCAACCCAAATAATAAGTCCGGCCACCTGGCAGGGTTGGAATAGCCCTTATACCAGGAAAACAGCCTCGTAGTTCAAATGGTTAGAAAGTTGACTGTACTCCAGACTTTTTCCTGCTGTCGCGAATTCCAATGCCACTGAGGCCTAGCCTTGTCATAACTAGATCAGTTGAAGTGAGATTATTTTTATTTATTAAAATGAACGAAAATTCGAAGGCCCACATTGCACGGGTCCATTGCACAGCAGGCAATGGAGATCGTAACTACAACTCAAATCCTGTTCTTCTGTAAGCATAAATTAAAAGTTGTACATGTTTCAGGCTTCTGTTTCGGAGAGCAAGCTCATTAAAGAATCAACAAAGTATGTACAACGATGTTTAAAAATGGGTGGGTTTGCTCTCGTAGTCCTCGATAACTCCCAAGTTCCGCTTCATTCTGTATGCTAATGAACATTTGCGGAATGAGGCCGAGCCAGCCTCAGTTGCGGTTGTCCCCGGCCATAGAAGTGGTTTTTAACGGCATGGTCTTAAGGCGCACAAGCGAGAGCACGGTGAAGTTGATGTATCTTTTTTGTTGGAAATGGGTGCATATTCAATGAACATACTTTAAGGTGTGAGGAAACCAGCACATTTCTGAAAAAGCGGTATAGGCTAATGGTTGCTAATAGAAGCGAAGGGGCGGGCTCCATAAAGTAGTCGAGAAGGAGAGACGATAGCTAGAACAAGTGCTTTATTAGCCTCAAGTTTCGGATTCTCACTCGAATTCATCATCAGAGACAGAGTCAGATAAGGGTAGAGGATTGTCCAGATGCTGCAAGGCCGCTACATGTCTACCATGGTTGGCAGCTCCTGAGTGCATCAAGGTTCGACTGGTCAGGTGTTGAAGTATGCCATCGCCATTCAGTTGTAATGCGCCTGTGTGCCGGTCAAGATTATCGGCTCCCACGCTCATCGCACGCCGCCGAGGGGTTGACTAGTGGATTTTTTCATCCATGTGGACGCTTGGGTGATTTGGCTAGCCAACATTGATACTGGGAACAGTGGTTATCTGTACGTTCTCCTCGCGGCTAACTACTTTGCCACTCGGCGCCGTACGATGAGCGTGGCAGCCGATAATCTTGACCGGCATAGAGGAGCATAAAAACTGAATGGCGATGGCTACTTCAACACCTGACCAGTGGAGCTGTGATGCACTCGGGAGCTGCCAACCGTGGTAGGCATGTAGTAGCCTGGCAACTACATCCTATAACTGTTGCAACATCGGGCAATCCTCTGCCGTTATCTTACTCTGTCTCTGATAATGGATTCGAGTGAGAATCCGAAGCGCCAGGCTAATAAAGCACTTGTTCCGGCTATCGTCTCTCCTTCTCCGCGGATGGCTACCCCTAAAATGGCGAATTAGTGAATACTCCTGAACAGTAAGACATGGTAAACACATAGGGCTAAATAAAGCCACAGATGCCTCAAGCAATTCAGTTTGAGGTATAATCATCGAAGTATTTTGTGCAAGGAACTGTGAGTCTTAATCGGCAAAAAGAGGTCATATAGTTCAGAAAGCAATTTATTTCGAGTCGCAGTTCAAGTTCTACATTTCGACAGAGGTGAAAAGGTAGGTATTTGGCAGCCGGACCTGTGCCTTTACTGTTTGCACGAGCATGGTACGATAGTTCGGCCGGCGTTGTGGACGATGTCCACCGTGTTCCCCACAGCAGGATGGAGCAGGGACGGTGAATTGTGCGTGCATTAGTTTATAGGGAATGTAGACTTGCACAACATCTACTGCACTCCACCTTCCGCAATCTCCACCTAGACCAGGTGTCAGGCAGAGTCAAGAAGACTGGAGGCGGGGAGAGCGCAGGTGGATGGCACAGTCGAGCCCGCACCTTGGCGTTCCACTCCACACTCCCTGGTCCACACAGCAAATGACCAGGTTTTTGACCAACAACAAAAGGGTGGCTGGCAAGACCAAATCCTCAACTTGGTGTGTCGTAACACCTGGTTTGGATTCCACGGAGGCATATACTTCTGCATATGCACTGTCTGGCGCCATTTCCTGCTTCGCCACGGCGTGCGCGTGCATTTGTCTGCGCTGGTTTAATGGAGCGCGGCAATGCCACCGTCTGCCTTCGAACTGTAGTTATTCGACACAGAGACGTCGAAGGGAGGCACGATGTCTTCAGTGTTGTTTTCGCTGGCTTAGTATGCAAAGAACTACCATGTCGTCTACCGCAGATGGTCGTCTGTCATTGAACGCGCGATTTCTGAAAGTGGGCGTTATGTTCATAGATGCCTCATAATCACCCGCTTGGCCTTTTAAAAGTAGCGAGGTTGCTTGGCTTAGACCTGTCGTCAGGGACACGGGTCCTGGTTGACGAAGTACCTGCAGCAGCAGATGTCATGCCAATGAGTACTAGTTAACATGTCAATTTAGGCCTACCTTATTAATCTAAGCGATTTTTACGCATTGGGGTGGCACGTTTGTGTGAAGACGAGCTGGTTGCTATGTTAGCGACCACTGGCGCGCCCATTCGTGTCATCCAGTGGGGTAACGTAGCTCAGATGGCTAGAGCGTTGGCTGTGCTATAGCCTCTTGCTGTCGTGGGTTCAAATCCCACCGAGGCGTCGAGTTTTCACAGTTGCGTTAGAGTGAATTATTTGAAATCTGCCATAACACCTATTAATTACGTGAGTCTAGTGGATTCCAGATGTACCACTTAGGAAATATTGCTTGGAAAGTCGTCCTACTTTATCAGCTTTGGCGGATTCCAGACGTTTCGGCAGGTTGGATGGGTAGACTTGACCCAAATGTGATTAAAATCGTGTCGTCCGGTGGGGTCTGGTAGCTCAGATGGCTAGAGTGTTGATTGTACTAAAGCCTCCCTTTACTGTCGTGGGTTCGAATTCCACAGAGGCCCTGAGTTTCTAACAGATGTGTCAAAGTGAATTATTTGAAATCCGCCATAACGCCTATTAAGACGTGGAAGTAATTTAAGCCCAGACTATGCATGATAATACAGCTGTTAATGCCTAGGGTTTTCGTGGTGAGAATCTGCTGTGCGCAAGATAAGCCGTCAGAATTACACACTCTCTTCAGCTACCTGCTGATGATTTACCGGAAATGCAACTCAAAAGTCTGCGTCTCGGTAAGAAGGGCCGAGTGATTAAATGCCAAAACATGCGACGTGTCGCGTAAGACGCTCATGCATTAATATGAATATCCTAAGGCGTACGGCGACCGCAAACGATGTCAAGTTAAAAAAGGGTATATTAACAAAATAGTACATCCCAGTGTAATAGAGAAGGAACGTGTGGATGACCCCCAATGCATACATGTTTCGACTTTACTTGTGTTAGACGAAGAAATGATAAGAAGAGATATATGAACGCAAACTGGCTATTTGAGAGAGTGGCACATTATAGCAAAAGGCTGTCCCATTCGAAAAGGATGGCGAGCTTAGCTCCACAACCGTCGTCATACTTGCTGATACCGATAACATATTTAAATAGGGTCCCTGATAAGTACTTAATCAGTTAAAGTAGTGTTTTTGACTTCGCATATAAGTCCGTTGCAGTCATCTCCAGGTCTGTAGCAATAACCGTTGAGCCTACAACCGTCACTTGCTTTGCTGTCACAGTCATATCGAATAATGTGCTCATGCATGAATTTAAAAATTCATCAGAAAAACCGGTTGTAATGATCGATCAGTTGCGTCTTTACCCGGATACACATCCGAAATTGAACTATTCGTCTCTATCCGTGAAATTATCACTAGCTTTCTTTATGGTCAAAAGGCCTAGAAGCGTGTGCTATGCCACTTTCAGCAAATCATGGCCCTCGCAGCCTGGTATGCGCTAACAACTGGTTTCTTGCCAGTAGATGCGCTTGTGCCCCCGCTGGGCATACAGGTGGTAGGCATGCCTGTCCAGTTATCATCATATTCCTGACGCCTTTTAGTGTGTTATTTTTGTTGGGAAAAGTCCTGGTCAAGTGTATGTTGTAGACTAGTTTGGTGGCACGCCTAGGTGCCGGCCCGGCAGTGCCAGCCACCTGCGCCATCCCCCATCTCCGGCATTCTTGACTGTCTTGGTACCTGGTCTAGGTGGGGAGTGGGGAAGAAGAGGTGCGGTAAATGCTGCGAAATTCTACTATCACTATAAACTATTTCACACGTAAATCATCGCGGCCGTTGCAACTTGGTGTGTAGCACACAGTGGGTATCGTCGAAATCGCCTTCACACAAAACTTGCTGCAGGAAAATAACCTTCCCGGTACCTTTGTTCCAAAATATATTAAGCAACGTCCCTGGAAAACGGCCGTGTCAACGGCAAAGGAGAAGTAACTATTTCTCACATTGCCATTTCGAGAAGAACCTGCAGGCGAACTTCTAAATCGTCGCTTAAATACTGCGATCATCCGCGTGTACACATTTGCCAGTTAAGACTCATCTCAAGCACCCCGCCTCTTCTCCTTGAAATAAAGGGTAGGCTGTCTTTTCAGAGTTCTTCAATGTGCGTTTACGCCTCACTTATTCCTGTGAGGCAGGGTATATTGGTCGAACAACTGGGCGCCTACCCAGCGAATATAAGAGCGCTATCCTGTTTGGCTAAATCAAGGCATGGAAAAGTCCATCTCTTGTGCAATCTTGGCTCACTTGGTTGACAACGGCCACCGGGAAGACGTCACCCAAGCATTCAGAGTCGTGTATGAAGTGCCCATGAGACAGCTCCTGCACCAGCGAGTTTTTGCAGAGCCAGAGGCAATGTCCATACAGTTAGCCAACCTTGCCTTGCCCTCGCAGAAGACATTCACACAAACCCCCAAACTACCCTGGGACAAAATGACCCTAGAGTCTTATTAACTTCATCCTACTACGTCGATCTACAGCGACGAAATTTAAGCGCAGTTCACCGTTAGATCCCTCCCCTCCTCCCTCCCCAAGCCCCTGAGCAAACCGACATGTGTGGACGGCCACAACCCTCTACTCCATAACAGAACTGTCTTAAGAATGCACTGAGGCACAACTTCAAGATAAAAGATACCACCAGTGGAATGACATTCCTAGCTAAAACTGAATACTAGATGATGCATCGGTCACATTTCAAGTAATCTAAGGAAATGCATATTGGTTATCAATACGTCCATTAGCTATAATTAATTAACCTATGAACACCCGTTATTCGGCCTGAATCTTCTATCCTCTTGATCCCGACCTCCATATTCTTTTGCCTTAACGGTTATCGTTGTGAATTCACAACGTCTCTGTAAAGAGACGCAGTTACGTGAGAAGGGATTATAGTCGTATAATCGTCATGCGCATGACAAGGAGGCAGATGGACGTGCCTAATTTGGTCTGTGATTGAAAATTCGCCAGGTTGAGCTCCGATCAAGCCGATTTGTACGCACGGATTTCGATGCTGCAAATGGCGTTTCTGGACGCTTCTCGTAAATTTTGTTTTCCTTATGGTTAAACCACGTCTGTGGTAGGAAAAAATGCAACAATGGATAAAATATGATCTAGAGATAAAACAAAAATCAAGGAATAATGCGCAAAGATACAGAGTAATTACAAACGTAAAAAATAACCCACTCACATTATGCTGCGATCGGTTATCGTGGCCAGCGTAGACAACCAACAAGATTGTCAATAAAACCTTAACACCAACCAATTGGTGCAAAATGCACAGCGCCTCAACAAAACTTTTAGCATATGTCGAGTTGGCAAACACAATGTTCATAAGGTAACTGAGATAATCCGGCACTCAAAGATGAGAGGGCTAATGTTCTTTGGCAAACAAGTTAGCTTACTGGCGTGTTATGCCCAACAGAATTGCATGAGGTCAAACCATAGCCGATTACTTAGCTTGAGACCATTCGTACTTGTCACAGATTTTTCTTTAGTCCTGCTGTAGAGTTGAGGTGGTAAAAACAAGTTTTCGCCTGCTTGGCCAACAAGAGACCTTAAGGGGCAGTTATGGAGGAACAGCATGGTTTGGATGACCGACATGGTTTGGATAGGACCGACGGTCCTATGCCCATTGCGCAACCAATCAGGTAAAAACAACGACACGAGAAATCATTGCGACGCTGTTGTTCTGGAAAACTCGGGCGCAATATCATCGGCTGACCAGCGCATACTGAGAGCCCAGTATACGGCCTTGACCCGCTTCTATGTCCTTCCCAAGGTGCACAAAGAAGGTGTCCCCCTCTGACGCATCGTCTCACTCAAAAGTACTCCAACTTACGGACTGCTTCTGCCAAGCGACATCATGGCATCCTTTGATGCCACGTCCCTTTATCCTTATATTCCGTTGGACCAGACAGACGAGACCATCGAACTACTCCTACGAGGCAAATACGACGAAACGAAGAATCGCCCAACACACGCCCAAATCCTACAACTTCTGCAGTTCTGTCTCAAGACGTACTTTGCGTTCGACGGAACAATCTACGAACAGGTGATGGGCACGCCAATGGGTTCGCCGATCTCGGAACTCATAGCCGATGCGTTCCCACAACGGTTGGAATCGCAGGTTTTCCAACAACACAGACCGAAATTCGGGACTGGGTATGCGACTGATAACTTCGTCGTCATTGAACAGGAACACGTGACGGAATTCAAACAACATTTCTACGCCATCTTCCCGGACATTCAATTTACGATGGAGGAGGAGGAAAACAACCAGTTGGCCTTTCTTGATATTCTCGTCTACCGTAAAGATTGCTTTGACCTGAAAACCAAAGTATTCAGGAAGGTGAAAACGCGACGCAAGTACTGAATTACAACAGCAACCACCCACTGAGTCACAAACGCAGTTGCGCAAGGACACTACCGACGTGTAGAGACACACTGCAATGTGCCGGAGACAAGGTTGCTGAATTACAATACCTCCGCTGGATATTCAAAACCAATGGCTACCCACGCACCTTCGTCAACCAGTGTCTGAGCAATCAAGACGAGAGACGAAATCCAACCGGTCCCAAATTTTGACGAGCCCTTCGTTCGTGAAGAATGTCTCAGAAGCCAACTGCCGCCTTCTCACACGCTTTGGAATTGGACCAGCACACAGACAGGAGTCAACCAGGCGTCAGGCCATGAGACCGAAAGACAAATTGTCACGGCAAGAAACATCTGGAGTTGTTTATCGTGTCCGGTTCAGCTGTGGGCAAAGCAACTATGTTGGGGAAACCGGAAGACAACTGCGGACGCGAATGGTTGAGCACGCAGCAGCGGTGAGGAGAAAAGACCCCAGCTCCCAAGTCGCGGCCCATTCGACGGGACCCAACCAAACATTCAAGTTTGATAAAGCAGAAATTCTTGCTAAAGGTGACAACCGCGTGAACCGCGAACTGCTGGAGTCATGGCTTTCCGGTCCTTAGTCAGCCAACTAACACAGTGACCTCCCAGCTCCATAATCGGCAGTAAGACTTTGTTTAGGCACAGTCGTTAGCTGCGAAAACAGTGTGCGGATGGCCACCGTTCCTGGTGTCAATAGTGGTGAGCCACACTTGGAGAGAACAGGTAGAGGAGTTTGGATCTATTCGCCCCGGCCTGCTCCACCTTCCATCCGAACCTCAACAGGGAGAAGGAAATGGTAAGGCATCGACCGACAGAAAATACACTGAAATTCGCATCAGTATCAGTGGAACGTACCTCACAACAGTAGGCAAAGTCGCGTGAAAAGGAAGTGCACTTTCACGAGATATGAAGTCGGGCTCAAGCACTCCACCTAGAACCGCTGTGCATCCTACTCAACACCTAAATTAGGAAGCATATGACTGTTGTCCTCATAGCTGAGACATGAACAATCAATGTAGGTAAAGAAAGAAGAGTCGGTTGCTTTGAAAGGACACCGATGGGTCTTTAATAAAATTACTCTATTTATCTATTTATTTTACTCACCCTACCTGCTTCCGAAGAAGACTATACTCGAAGCGGCAGGGAAGGGTCTCGGATAATGCGGTCCTGGTAAGGACCAACATCCTCAGTATCTACGCTATGCTGAGACAGGCTCAACTGAAAGGGAGTTTTCACATCGTGGTGATGTACGTCGAGCGCCTGAATCATGGCAGTCTACCACTACAGCCACCAAAAAGATCACAGGTGAAGGCATTCATATAATCCACAAAAACACCACCATTGCCCCTACCAAGAGCGATATGGAGTCGATTCTGACCTGTTCCCATCCCGAACGCACCACCACCACCACCACCACCACCACCACCACCACCACCACCACCACCACCACCACCACCAAAACACGGTAGGCGCGTCCTTCGAATTTGAGTCGTATCCCCAGCTCTCCGAGTTTTCGTCGAATTTACTTGATAGTATAGGGCAGACTGAACGTCGCGTGGAAATAAATTGCGAACTGACAACGTATCCTTTGGATTTGGATTACAAGTACACCAACTCGAAAGTTCTATCATTATTGGAATTTTTGGATCTCGACGTTATTTCCCACGGTATCAGGAGGAAGATTCTACCCGAATTCTTCAAGGAACAGCACCACTGATTAGTCTTCTCATTCGCACCGGTGAAGTATACCACAAATTCTCCAGCAAAAGATATTTGCAATCGTCCGACCATCTGTACAAGTCTCCCTACTTGACAACTTTTCTCCGAGATCTACGTCGAAAACTATAAACGGCTGAGTCGTTTCCTATTTTACTTCATAATTGGCAAATTCTTCATTCTAACAATTGTTGAAAACATCCTGCACTACTCTAGAACTGATTGAAGAGTTTGAAAATCATCAGCAATGAGCCAATTTGTTATAAAAAAACTCGTTCACAAAAGTTGTGCAACTGGGATTTGAACTGGGTACCTGCGGTCTCGGAGGCCACAGTGTTAGCCACTGCGCTATCGATGAACGGTTTGGCGCTAGTCAGATATGTTTATCAACTACAGAAGAGCAGCTGAAAACGGTCTTTAATTCATTAGCCGTCTCTTGCGATAAAATGCCGCTGGAATCATTAGATTCCAGGGAGATTATGCACAATAGGCTCGAAGAGATAAGACAGGAAATAAGAACCGATGCACTGCCAAGAGGCCTCGAAAACTGCATGACAGTCGGGACGGATTCTGCGCTTGTCGGTCGCTGTGTCGGCTGTAAGGAACTTGAAAAGCGGGTCCAGACACTAGAAGAGAAGCAAGGCCTACTGACGGACATCATCATGGCTATTCTTAAGCACAGTAAGATAGAATTGCCAAATAATACGCCAAATTTCCGATCGATCGGCGACGAACATCCTACTAATAAAGGCGCTAGCGCGGAAAAGTCAAAGCCGGTCAGGCAGAGGAAGCGAGTTATGTCTCCAGCGGAAGCTCTAGACAAATCAGTTCCGGTGGATAACGTGGCAGTCGACACTAATGCATTAAAAATAAGTCAGGTTCCATTACCTGCTATAGTAACAAAACCTGCCAAATCATCGAACAATAAAGTTGGGAAAGCCAAGATGACCCTCAGAAGATCTGTTAGAAACTACAAGGACTCGCTGTTATTCTTGGAAGGCAATGCTGTTACTCCACTTCTTCACAAAGCTTACTCATCTGGAAAGTGCCCTAATCATTCCGTTTATGGAAAAGGACACGATAAGCCTTCGTGCAGTACATTGTAACAGGGTAATGATTGTAAGAGCTCCACTGCCGGAGCAAGTACGTCACATGAAAATCCATGCTCTATACCCTCTTCGCCGGCCGAAAATCATTCAAATGTCGAAGTGACAACAGCCGTCGGGAATACTACAGTAGCATTATATCGTCCTAGCGAGGACGGGACTGTAATGAGCTCTTCCATAAATCGTAAGCAAAATATTGTCATAAGGGGCGCCCCAGAGTCCACGTCCTGCATTCCGAAGGAACGAGTGACGCACGACCTAGACCTTCTTCATCAGTACGCCAGTGCCGTCCTGCAGAATGGGGAAATATTCACCGTTAAAAAAGCTTTCCGACTAGGCAGAGCGGACCAAAATCGTGACCTAGAAACATCCCCAAGACCACTGAAAGTTATTTTGGAAAACGAAGCCCAAGCAGCGCTTTTGTTAGAAAGTAGAACGACCTTACGCAATTCGCACAAGGAAGTGTTTTTTCAACCAGACTACGAACCGAGGGAAAGACTGAAAATGAGAGAACTGAGATCAGAATTGAAGGAGAGAATTGGCAGAGGAGAGAAAGGGCTGAAGATCAAAAATGGACAAATAGTCCAAACAAAGGGGTCTTTCCTGTGGTCAGAACCCGTCACAATGAAGGCCGGGCCTCTCCAACGAATCAGTCATTGAAGGTTATATCCGCAAATGTGCAAAGCCTCTTCAACAAACTAGATGAACTAAGAGACTTAGTTGATGAAATTAAGCCAGACATTATGGCATTCACAGAAACGTGGCTTACTGAAGATATCGCAGATTCAGAAATATAACTTAGAGGATATCAGCAATTCAGGAGAGATAGACTAAGCCGAGGAGGAGGAGTCATAATTTATGTCACTTGCAAGCTAAGCGCTATGGCTGATGTACACAGACCGGTACGGGATGTGGAACTGCTAAGCGTTACCATATCTACTAAGAATGTCCGATCATTGACGCTTTCGGTAGTGTACCGTTCACCGAACCATACTTCCGACCAAGATCTCATGCTCATATCCGAACTGTACTAAGCTAGCGAGAAGAAAGACGTCCTTATCGTTGGGGATTTTAACGTTCCTTGCATTGATTGGCTAACGTGGACTGCACAAGGGCCGAAAGACAGCTTTAATCACAAACTACTACAATGGGCAACGGACAAACTTCTCTGCCAGAATGTTACCTTTGGAACACGGGTCAGGGAAGGGCAGCAGTCGAACTGCCTTGATCTTATTTTTACCCGAGAGGAGGAAAACGTGTTAGACCTGCAGGACCGACAGCCATTAGGGTCAAGCGACCACATCACCCTCTACTTCGAGTACTCACTGTTTTCCAAACCCGTCCAACTCGAGAGGTGGGAGAGGAACATTTGGAAAGGTGACTATTCTCTCATGAGGAGGGAAGCGGCAGCTATATCATGGGAGACTGAACTGCATGGTCGAGCAAACGATAACTGGAATACTTTCAGTTCCGGCTGAAACCGGCCAAATCGCCGGGCGCAGATAGAGTTCCCGCACTAGCACTTCGCGAACTTGCTAATGAACTGTGTAAACCCTTATCCGCAATATTTCAAAAGTCATTTGAAGACGGCGAGCTACCGGAAGAATGGAAGTGCGCACTCATTACTCCGATCCATAAAGGAGGCTCAAGACTTGACTGCGGAAATTATCGTCCTGTCAGTCTTACTTGATGAAATACCTGGAACAGAACAAAATATTGTGCGATGCCCAACACGGCTTTCGTCCAGGGCGCTCCTGCCTAACGAGTGTTCTTTACTCACACGAGAAATGGACACGAGCTACCGATAAGGGTTTTGCAGTAGATCTCATATTTTTTGACTTCAAGAAGGCCTTTGACAGTGTCCCACACAGGCTTCTTTTGCAAAAGATCTGGGATGTAGGGATTCAAGGGAGAATGTTTAATTTGATCAGAAGTTTTCTGTCCTCCAGAGTACAAAGAGTCGTCGTTAGTAATTCTACCTCGGAATGGGTAAAGGTGGAAAGTGGTGTCCCACAGGGTTCTGTCTTAGGCCCAGTACTCTTCCTGATTTATGTTAATGACTGCATCAGCGAAGTCAATTGAGAGGCTCTCATGTTCGCGGATGACATAAAAATATGGAGTGAAGTCAAGTGTGATGATGACGCAGAGAAGTTGCAGT